TACGTATTTAAGCACATCTGATGAGCACACCTGATCTTCACCAGCAGATTTGCCTATTTGAATTTCCTTCAAGGCTTTCCTGACTTTTTTCATGACTAGTGGGAAGTCATCTGAGGTACTGCAAGTTCTTACATTATGACCTTGGTTGTCCCAGCTACTGCACTGTACGGGTTTTAAGGACATCGTAGTCGAAATCAAGAAGAAATAGTCATGAACAGTGCAAGTAGCACAAATTCAGTATACCCGCTTGTTGTAAGGGCCCTGCAACACTTTTTGAGCATGGTCAGAACACACTGTTGATCGGTTCCCACACTGTTGATCGGAACACACTGTTGAAGGTTCCCAAGAACACGTGAGTTAAATATTATGGCGCTGCATGCTGCCTGGAATGCGCAAGAAATTATCAAAGTCAGCTAAACATTGCTTTCTCTCTTCTCGACAAATGACGGAAGACGCTCAAAAATCACTCGTAGAGGCTGTCAGCCATTGGCTGATTTCAACATGGTGATTGGTCGTTACAAGGATTGCCACGGGAGGCTGCAACTTGTCCACGCGTGCGCCTGCGATCACACTACGAAAACCACGTATTTAAAGAAGAAAAAACAAGTGCTCAAGGTTACAAAGCGCGAGTAACTTTTTTTTTGCCCCTTCCATTCCTTTCTGCCTAGCTTCGAGCGCTTTCATCGCGTCGAGAAAAGAGAGCGCGTTTGCAGCATGCGACAAATCTTTGTAACTCCACTCTTACTGGACCGATTCAGATATTTTTGCAGCGTTGAATCCATGACGCAATAAGCTTTTTTTTAGTGAATCTATTCTATGGTTACTTGAAAAAATGTGTCAGGGCTCCTTTAATGATCACAGACCAGATTCCAAGAGAAGGCAAGCGGGTGAATGGGGAGATAGAAAGCTAGGTGGGCAGATGAGACTAGCAAGTTTGCGGGCATAAAGTGGCAGGAGGAAGCACAGGATCAAGTTGACTGGTGGAACATGGGACGGGCCTTTGTTCTGCAATGAGTGTAGTCAGACTATTAATGATGATGTCTAAAACCGTAAGGGGAGGTGCCACTACATTTTGTGTCCGGTCTCCTTTATAGATGTCATGCGCGTGCACGGTGTATGGTAGTGTGGAAGTAATTTAGACTATTTGAAAGTGTGCGGCCAATTGCGCGTGAGTGCGGTGTGATCCTCACCAGGATCACACCGCACTCACGCGCACTCACGCGCATTAGCACAAACGGGGCCTCGCATTCACGCAAAAGCCGGCTGTGCCGTCACCCAAGGCTCGTGTTCCTGGGAGAAGTATTCACCCGGTGTCATTGTGTTCCTATGCAGCCGAGCTGTGCCCTCGGTCTATGCTGTGCTGGGCGACGCCTCGGCTATTACTCGGCCAAAAACCACGATAAAGTCGTCCTGTGGCCCAATGTACAGTTGCTGTGCCGTCGCCACAGCGATAGACGCTAAACAGGACTTTGTTCTCTGTGTTTTTGTGCAACAAGCCCGTTTGTCCTGGCCCGCGTCGGCATTAAAGCCTCTTTGTTTCCAAGAAGCATTAATTGTGTGCAAGAGGCCTGAGCCCACATCATCCCAGACAGGTATTTGTTGGATATCCAAGGCTTCGCATTTGCACTTCCCACCAGTGCGTTTGAAGATCTCGTGGAGTTGAAAGTATGTAACAGAAAACCTGAGGACATACAGCAAAAGGAACCACTAATGCAGCCTTACGCGCATTACATGGTCCATAACTTGACCCAAGATGCAGACAGGCATTACAGCGCTGTTTTTGGCACCTAAAACAATGTCGAATCTTTGCGGCCGCATTTAATCTAAAAAAGCCAATCTTTCGCACTAAAACACGCTATAGGCCAGTTGAGCCGCGAAAAAGTTTACATCAGCCAGGCGTTGTGTCAATGCCAGCCTCACGAAGCACGAATTATCCATTGAGAATGGCGTGGGTTCCCTCCTGTGATTTCCCTGCGGTTGGGTATCTCCGCTCGCTCTGTGTTGCTGTGTGTCTCTGTTCAGGGACATACGGGCGATAGGAATAAGCGGCGAATCATTAGAACATGAAGTTCTTAGAGGGTTTTTCTCTCGCTCAGATTCATGTCTATAGCAGCTCATCACAATATGAGAGAACAAGTAGTCAGCACTTCAGGAGCCATGCGCTACGGCGTCTGTCACAATAATATCGTGATTCTCGGACGCGAAACCCGAACAATAATTATTATTACAATATGGTTTGTTCGCGTACCGTGCATCATATGTATCTCATCCTCTTCTTCATTTTTCTTATTTTACTTTGCACACATCGCTTAACCAACGGTTTGTGGCGCAAACTCTTGCGGCATGACACCATGCTAAAAAACATATTCCCAAGGCCCAATTTCGTGACAACTATCTGCGCTAGTGTCACTGCGAAACCACTTCCGTAAGGCCGTGCATGGTCAAAGTGTGAATAGGGAGTGTGATCCTATGTTTAGGCTTTTGAAAGACCACATTTTTGATGCACTTAAAATGATACCTCTGCTTGCGCAGAAGCTGAAAAAAAAGCAAAATCTAAAGGACTCAATGTCTTGCATGAAATACCGCTCTCATAGCATTTACTGTGAATACGATTGGTACTTGCTTAGATGATGAAGCTCAAGCAGAAATACTCGCAAAAGACAGACTAGATATTCTTATATAGCGATAAGCTCCTATCACATATACTACTATTGATAAGCAATTATCTATATGGATATACAACGCCAAATCGAGAACATCATTAAACTTGATCAAATGATCTTTAATGTGATATTTTGAACAAAGTGGCTTATTCTCTGAGGTAAATTTGTAGGCCGCCGCTGTTGCCACTACTTTTGAAAGTCTATATCTATAGAGCGACGCCTGCAATGTAAATCTATTCATTGGGATAGAAGATGAAATTGAGGTGGAATGTATACAAGATTTATGCTAGGTATGTATGCTAATTTTGATGTTAGTGCTGCCATGTGAGGGCCTTCAGGCACATTCCAGCTGCATGATGCAGCTTTTCGCCTGACGAACCCCTAACGATATCGTTGGATAATAAGAACCTTTCTAATTCTGAAGATTACGCATGTACAATATGTCATAAATATTGGCCGATAAATGCGAGATAAGAACGGTATCCAACGCAATAATAAGCTTGTTGGTGAGAAAGGTATTCATTCCACTGTGGTACCCAAGCTTATGTCTACTATGCATACTACTGGAAGGTGCTCAAAAATTCCTTTTATATTGTATACGGCTTTGCGGTTATCTAAATCGTTAACGGGCTAGAATTCTAAGCATAAACCCGCATTCGCTGCCGGTTAGCCTATAGGATAAGAAGAAGTGAGGATAACACTTCCGGCCGATCCCTTTGGTGCTTGTGTATAAGTTTCCTTTGTAGCCTTTCTCCAGCGGATATCATTAGATAATAGAAGCATCAAGAAAGGGCACTGCAACGATCGATGTTTGGGGGGATGCTTTCTTATAGCCACCTTAACTGCATAAGTTAGCGAATCTCACAATGCTCTACTACCGTGATGATTAAAGTGTGTGCAAATACCCTTATTAAACATGGTTGAAGAAAGTGGTGGTGGCCTTTATCAGTTTCTTGATTCCTGTCGTGCGCTTTCAATAGGTGAAATGTCCATTCGCACCTTTCTCAGTACGTCTTGTCTCTTCGTGCTCACGTTCCTGTTTGTGTACTTGACACGATTGTGCGAAAATCATGGGCCATCAACACATAGGCTAGTCATAAATGTTGTTGAAAAAATTGTCAAAACTTAATTTAACGAAAAAGGTAATTCCATAAAAGTTATTTCTTGCTGCTTTTCCAAGAACACTTTCATTTCGCCCACATACGATAGCGTTGCTGGTGAGACACCATTGTACAAACTATGAGGAAGTTTCACCTTGAACTGACCATAACCTTCCAAGATTTTCGACGTAATCGCAACAGCTGCTGAAGATTTCATCGTTCTCACCTATAAAACTACACTATCATTTCACAATTGCTATTTTTCAAGTCTCCGCGAGTTGTGTAATCAATTCATTCAGCTATAACTGCGAGCCACGGAAATATACAGACGCAGTGCGCTCTCGGGAAAACATGAATCCTATACAGGGTTTATAAACAAAATTGTGTCCAATAATAAAGAAGTACAGCACCTATGTATCTGCGCGCTACCTGTGACGTTACCTTTCCTGTGTATAAACATTAATTACGGCAGGGATTATAGAACTTCAATAATCAACTTTTTAACCAGTGGAAATAAGCGGTCGAGTCAAATGGGTGCAGTCCTTCTTGTGAATAGTCGACAGCCACATTGAAAATTCTAAAAGGCGTCCATGTGTAATCAGAGCGAAGCGGGGAAATCTGACTAATTTAGCAGGCGAAACCAACGCACCAAACAGCGCATCTATCATTATCAACCGCCAATCTTCATACATGGTTTCATGGCAAGGGCCATCTGCCACTTATAGACGCTCGCTTATCCTCCTCCTCAATGCGAGAGAAGAAGTGTCATCATTATGGGCGTTTTCGAAGTAAATGATAGATGCACCGTTTGGTACGTCGGTTCTGGTTTCGCTAGCGAAAGTAGCCAGATTGCATCACTCCGCGGCGATTAGCAGGGGCTGTCTTTCAGAAATTGCAAAGTAACTATGGACTAGTCGCCAGAAGTCCTTTTGTTCACCCATTGGACTCGACCGCTTATTTCCACTGGTAAAAAAGTTACTTCTATAATTACTACCGTAATGAATGTTTGTACAGATCTGAAGATCCCTTCTGCCACAGTAAAGGGAACGCCGCAGGCAGGACGCCGATACCTCCTTTCTGCAACTTTTCAATAATAATGGACACATTTCTTGAAACACCCTGTATATGTATATATAAATAGCTATGCGACCACTGAAATGGCAATACAAGGAAGAGTCGTCGTGAGAGGCAGGGTGCAACGGTGTTGCGCAAAGCCCATCGGGGAAGGTGCACTCACGCGTGCATGCGGGCAGCTCGTCGAGTCCGTACTCCTCCTGGAAGTCGAAGCGGTCTCCCTGGGCGCGGTCGCAGACCACGTAGCCCCTGGCCAGCAGGGGAAGCGACTTTGTGTTCATCACGTGGTCAGTGAGGCACGAGAAGCGGCACGTGATGAGCCCCTTGCGCCGCTTGCACTGGATGTTGCCGTTCGCGGGGGCCCGCAGAGACAGACACTGCGACTCTGGAAACGACGCGCCAGGTTCAGTGCGGGCAGCGAAGCGCGCGCGCGCCCCGAGAGACGACCATCGGTCTGTTTACGCCGCCAAGGGTCAGCCAAGGCGCACCCCGGGAACACCAAGCCAGAGCAGGCCCGACAGTGAAGCGCGACGTCGGGCTCAAGCGCAGGCTGCGCCTGGAGCCATGCGCAGGCGCTTTTCGCGGCAGCCATGAGCGGCGGTGCAGCCATGCAGCCAGAGCGGTTCTACTCACCCCTGAACTGCTCGATCTGCCTCGCGTTCACAACATAGGAACATTGCGTTTCTGCCTGGGTTTTATTGTCTCTAGCCGTACAGGTGACGTTGTACGCGCCGGGCCCAAGCAGAGTGGCCGGGTCGCAGGTGACCAAGGCGACGCCGCCTGACGCCGCCTCAAAGGCGGGAAGCTTCACGTGGGCTGGATACTTGTCGTGAACCTCCTCAACGTCTACACAATCTTGGCCCGGTCGAAGTCGTCGGGGTATAGCGTCACCTGCAACGACAGATACAGGGCCATGAAGCAGCCATACACTCGACGCGGGCTCCGCAAACTTCTCACAGCAGCGAAGGTGTGCTGCTGTTGGCCAGACGTGGGCGCTATGCCATCCCTGTAGCTTAGATGTGCTTCTACGCCGTTCATTATGTGTACCACAAGTGTCGGTTGCGACTAGCACTCCTTACCTCAACAGACTATATTTCGGCAAGTTTGGGCGAGAAGCGAAAGTCCCCTTTTCTGCTGATATAAATGTGACAGTTGAGTGCGAGTATGAAGGTAGTTAATTCGAGCGAATGTGAGCCGTTTATTTTAAAGAATCCACGCGGATGCTTTGTGCTTTCATTCATCATTTACCACCGCGTGCCAAAGTGGAACCGCCTATATGCCACGATCAGCACGCGCAAGGCGTTAGCATCACATCTCCGAATGCTGGAAGAAAGTTTTCTAGTAATACGTGCCGTGGTAATCTACGCGCGAGCTCCTACCTTTGACTATTACCTGAAACACGCAGGGCGTCGACGGCGACCTCAGCTCGGGGTCCTCCGCAACGCAGGTGACGTTGTACTTGCCGTAGTCGGCAAATATCTCCGGTGTGCAGGTGGCGTTGACTAGTTGTCCGGAACCGGTGCGGAACACGGGCAGTGGCACGGCCGTGTTGTTCGGCTGATTGGTGCTGGTTTCGAATTTTTGGCAGCCACTTACCAACACGGGTTTCAGTTGCTCTGCATAAAGCAGGGTGCATTCGAGATCAGCTAGGCTACAGGAACAAAATACGTTCTCATTCAGAAGTACTAAACAAGCTGTACTTTCTGTGGACTAGAGCTGATGTCGCTACGAGATATTATGCTAAAAAATATGTGGATGTATCTCAATATCGAGGCCCACAGGGCTAACATTATTTACCACTTTAAAAATGTCGCCGTAGTTATTCCCCATAACAACATTCCTAACTCATGTTGAAGCGTACTACTACAGTTGATGAACTCACTATTAATCTAAGCTGCGAAAGATAAAAAGCAGTAACCGTTTTTATGTTCAGATGACGGCTAAAATACAGGGCCAATTACTAAAGCTGACACATTATCGCTATAAACAGCGCAGCAGAGTTTGTATAGTTCTGATAGATTTTATGAGCCAGATAAATCTCCAGACACAATGAGCTAAGGTCACAATTAAGCAGCTCATTTTAATGAAAGAAAAATAGAGAGACTATTCGCCTGTTCATTGCGTTCACGAGACTCAAACAGTAATACCGCATAGTGGTCATGCCACAAACACCAACCGCGAGTGACTAAGCTGCACCGAAGTAGAGAGGTCAATGAACTGCCCAGCACAGGAGTTGTACGGCTGTCTCATGAGGCCGGAGTTGTAGAGCACCGGTATTTCCTGGGAGCTTACTTATTTAGTGCTGCGCTGCGGCAGTCATTGTAGTCTACAAGCGTGTTCCAAGAAATCCGTCTGAAAATCCGCAGAGCCGAGGGTAATGGAAGAAATGGCTGCCACCTTCATAATTACTTTTTCTGTAGCGGTAGACATACCAAGATATTTGGAGACATCAACCAGGCCAACATTAAAGAAACTTGAAATAATTAGGCTTTCAATTAGTCTAGATACGCAGTTGAGTCGAAAGAGAAAACTGGAGCTTTTTCTGTGTAAAGCCCACTGCCGCTTTGAGATGTCCGAAAAACCGACCGCTGGTACTGATGTTCGCCGCCATCTTGGGCTGAGAAGCGATCGTTTGGCGGTTTTCTACGTTGTAATATCAAACTATCATAGTCATCAAACATGGAATATGCACCGGCCCAAGCATTTTCGTGCCTCTGAGTTCGCCGTAGCACTATTTGTTTATCTGATAAGGATACAAAAAATGCGAAAGTGCTAGTAATACGGATACAAAAGTGCATACCAGCAGTCCAAGATGGCAGTGCTTGAGCGCGTCAGGAAAATGGTGTATAGCAGAGTAATGAAATCTGACGAACAGAAGAAGCCGAAAAGTGGGACAGTACAGCTACAATTTGTTTCCGAGGCGCTCATAAATGAGCTAGCGTAGTTATATCAGCATCGATGGACTCGTCCCGTTGTGTGTGCGGGCTGCACTTAGGGTTGTGGAAGAAATGTATCTCCGTTACCGTGAACAGAGATCTGGTTCTTCATTGGTGCTTTGGTTTCAGTTTGTCCAGTGAATATTGGCGAATTTCTTTGCTCATAAATGATTACCATGGGTCACTTTTTTTTTTCGATATTTCAAAGCAGCGATGGTCTTTTCCCAGGAAAGACTATAAATATTCTATATAAGCCAACCACTTGTCTCCACGAATGAAAATTGTAATTATATTTACTGATGTAATTGATGTCTCTGGCCATCTTTTTCTGTAGTCTGCCACTACAGAAAAAGGGCAATTATAAATGAAAGAAGCAAATATTTCATTTTCCTCGAATTTTGAGGGTTTCCTTGCACATTTCTTGCAACACCGTAAGGCAATTCTGACTAATAGTTTAGTTTCGTTCGTCGGACAACTTGTATAGCTTTATCTGCACTCTCTCAAGAAGGAGTCGCTAGCGAGAGAAGGTGCGACAAAAGCCTGTGCGTGCAAAGGCTCGTCTACCAACTTCCCCGTGTGCTTAGATTTAGGTGCACGTTACAGAGCCCCCCGGGGGGGGGGGGGGGCAAATTTTCCGTAGCCCTCCACTACGATGTCTCTCATAATCTTATCGCAGGTTTTGAGACGTCAAGTACATCAATTATTAGGTCGAAAGAAATAAATACTCTAATCACTTTTTGATTCTGTTTTCTCAGCAGTACACACAAGCCATTGCCATCTACATATTCCAAGGCGCTAGAAATATTGCGCATGGAGTCATCGAGTCATGGAATGAGGAGAAAAATTATAGTGAGCATGTCAGCAATTTTCACCGTTACAAGAAGGTAAATGCAGTGCACACAGCGTCAGGGAATGCGTCATTCTTCGTGTCCATTCACGTTACTCGAGACGTACAAACCATACCGAGAAGTGCATCAGTCACCATACCGAGAAGTGCATCAGTCTGTTTTTGAAGTTTTCACGAAAGAAAGAGCGTTGAGAAACAACTTTATAAGAACCCTTTCCTGCATTTTGCGGATTGAAATTTAGTTCCAGATTACGTTGCGTGCGACAGTCAGCTACGCCACTCAGCTATTCGTAGCGCCGCGTAGAAGACCGACACAAAAGGAAGGTACTCCTACATACTCTGGCACAGATTGAAGTCGTCGTTACTCCAGGAGCCGTTGGGCATGCATTCCTTTACGGCCGAGTCAACCTTGCTCTGAGGAATGACGTAGCCGTGTTCCTGGCAGATATACTCGCACACGTCACCCACTGGGTGCAGCTGACCCTCGGTGACGTTGTGATCGACAGAGCAGGACACCCGGCTGTACGGGTCGCTTTGAAGCGGAGGGCATCCGGAGGCTGCATCAATCACGAATACTGCCACGTTCAGGCTACACATGCAACGTCGGCTGCTGTTCTTTTAAAGTAGCACGAACTTCTTTAAGCACAAGACAACATACAACTCGACTTGAATGACAATAAACGCTACTTATTCTACAACATCGTTAAGGCTTTGGTGAGGAAAAACATGCCTAGTTGTTCAGGGAATAGATTTGTCTGATTCTGCACTGAAAAAAAAATCTACCGAGAAAAGCTGAAAACACCAACGTTGTTTACATCTCCTGGGAAAACGCTATATCTCTGATAATCGTAATAAAAAAATCTTTTCTGAAACAGGCGTCCTGATACAACCAGCAAGCCATTTTGCAGAATTAAATTCTCGTCATAACCTCATCTCTTCTAATATTCGTAGAATGCAAAAAAACAGTACAATGAATATAGTGAAACTTATAGCATTAAAGTTCTCAGAATGCAGTTCATCAATTTAAACAAAGTAATCGTTGATCTTTAATGTCCCTTTATATACATAGTAGTTTTGGAAAAAAACAGTTGGATAAAACAGAGTAGAACTTTCAGAATACTTGGTTAAGGTGTCTTCTCACTGCGCTACATGCTCCAAAAGAGGTGTTGGTGTAGCCTTATTTGTAACTTACGTGGTTGCATGGGCGACTTGGTACGACACGATTCACATAAATAACAGCGCCAATAACAAGGGACATTTGTAAAATCTGGTATATCTTGCACTGTTATTGCTGATTACTCAAACTCGTACTCATTTCAGCTTGAGATCATTGTTTCTAGATGTCAAAACGAAGTAATAATAATGGTGTACCGCACCCCCCGGGAAATGTTATCCGAATTCATGCATCATTTTGAATGGTTACTGCAAGTCTACAACACATAAATTTGCTCAAGCAATAAAATAGTGATCTTCGGTAACTTCAACCTACATACCTTAAAAAACAGCCCATTCAGAGTATTCAATGTATTCAAAGTATCGTCATACGAGTTTCATAACGTTATTTTTGCACCAACACGTGTCACACCAAACTCGTCCTCTTGAATTGATCCCATTTGTGCAACATTGAGATTGAAGTAGCATGGTGTGCTAGTCATGCAACAACGATATGTGTTCACTCCCCTACAAATATTTTATTCGCCGTCACAGAGTTTCACCGCATCAAGTGACGAGACTCCAATAGTCGTATTTTTTTTCCAGCCTTTTGTGATTGCCCACAATGGGCTGAATTCACTTATTCTTCAGAACCTTTGCAGTCTGTTGAATTATCTATTGCAGATGTGAATGCTTACTATTTCATTCTATGTAAAACTTCGAGTGAGGCTTTGATGCAATTAACAAGTACTAAGGTAAGAAGATATTATAGAACAATTTTCTCGTAAGTGAATTGGCACATTTCACAACAAATCAAGAAGAAAGGTTTTTTGTATCGAAGAATAAAAAAAACATAAAACGATGACTGTTTCAGCAATTCAGAGTGACTTGCATTAATGTAACGACACACATTCGAATAAGAAAAAAAAGATATCACGAAAACCTAATAATGAGAAATTAGAGTGCCTCACGAATAGTTTGGAGTAATACAAACTCGATTCTTGAACGCTCTGCAAACTATGACCATGCAAAGAATACATTGAGAACCCTCCTCTCAATCCTAATACATTCAAGTTTACCGATAAACAGCTAATGGAATCGTAGCTATAAAGTTGTACGCCAGTGAAATTTTCAGTCAGTTGCGGTAATATGCCTTCTTTAGTGGCAAAGAATGCATTTATAAACTTTAAGTACCAATTGAAAAATCTTTGATTTATTCTGTTATACGTCTACGTACCCTGACTTTCTCAAGTTGCAAAAAATTATCCCGATTTACAAGGCCAGTGACAAAAACATCCCAAAAAACTACCGTCTCATCTCCATTTAAAGTATCGTAAAGACATGTTTGGAAAACCAATAGTCAAACGAATCCTTGTCTTTCCTAGAACACCAAAATATTCTTACACCCTGTAAACATGAGCTAAAAAAGGGTAAGCAATAGACACATCTGTTTTGTCACTTTCCGAACCTATAAATTATGACCATAGAACAGTTGTAGGTATATTTCTTAATATAATGAAAGCTTTTGACACTGTTAACCACAACATATTATTAAATAAACTTGAATGCTATTACTTTAGTGGAAGGTGCCTGGAGCTCTTCCACAAGTTATCTTGAAAACCGTAAACAGACAGCACAGCTAGCCGATACCCAATCAGAGTTCCCTAAAACTACAATAGGAGTACCCCAGGGTTGAGGCCTTGAACCAATGTTTTTCTCACGGTATATTAACGACCTATCTAGAGTGGTAAAAACTTTCCGATATTTATCTGTGCTGACGATACAGCTTTCATATGCGCTCAAGGTTTTTTAGACCATACCTTAGTTTTTTGCAAACTAAGAGCTTGTTATACACAAGTGGTTCCCTTCAAATAAAAAAACCTTCAAATACACGAAACCAACTACACTGTGTCTACTTCACCGCGCAAAACCCTTGAGGAGAACACATGCACACCCACAATGAATAATTTAGCGCTAGAATGAGTTCATTCGATAAATAGGCGTTATCCTTGTTGCAAATTTTAACTGGTACCTCATATTGACGATGTGTGCAAAAAACAAACAAAGTAAAGCTTGTTTTCTTTTACACAAATCTCAAAACATTTTTGACACACCAACCGTGCGAGTAAGTTAGCGTATTTAATAGCCCCTTTAATAACTGTGCGATTACCTAAGGTCACACATACCGCACATACCTAGAACCAGTAATGAAACTTCAGGAGAAAGCAACCCGGTTTATAAAAAAATCGGACTATACGGCACATGGGCTACCACTCTTCCGAAACCTAAATATCATGCCGTTCCGTATGCTAATAAATTATAAAACAGCACATAGGGTCTATTCTAGTATTAACACCAACTATGCAGTTTGCTTTAAACTTTTCTCACGTTCTAGCTGTGAAAACCGCAACAAAGTAGAAAGAAACTGTCGCACTCAGCAAACAAAAGACGTATGCAGTACCAGAAAACTTAGAGATAATGCAGTCGCCGTGCGGAATAACCTTCCACAAGAAATACAACAGAATAGGAATTTCTCTTTTGCACTGTTGTATTTTGTTGTAGTACGCAATTAGTACTTTGTTCAACGTAGCACAAATAGATGTCGCATGAACATACGCACGTCTGCTTCATTGAAATTTATACACCTAGGCGAGCACGTCTTGAGTTACAAATATAAAACTTACTAACTAATTAGTTGTCAATAAGGAAAAATTGTAGTGGCTCCTACAGCATACTGGGAGCAATATTCACTACGTTTGGTTCAAGTAACATCATTGGTCTTTTTTTATCGTGCTACGTGCTAATATGCAGGGTGTCCCACGTAACTTTAGCCACAATTTATAAATATGCCGGAACACGTAATTACGACGTGACTAAATGCATTTTGCTCACCGTTGCCTCGAGTTAGACTGTTTTTTGTGTTCTCAAATATTGTTTAATGAGATCTGTTTATTTAACTTTTGAAGGAATGAAGATGGATAACAAATTTCAGTGAGGATGTTGTAGATCGGTTTGCAAAACGTCCAATTAGACAGCTTTGAACTTTATATATGTTCAGTATTGGTGTTTTTCTGCTAATTACAAATGCCCGCGAAATAAAAAAAATACCACGTGACAAACCCGCTTGCGCGTCAGTGAGCACGATGATTCTAGTGCTCCCTAACGTTCCGCGTACGAACGACACGCTTCCCTCGCAACGGTTCATGACAGCGATAAGCAGTCACAGCAGTTATCATTTTCGTGGCCGATAGCAAAACGTGTTCGTCATAAAGCCACCACCATCGTTGCGGCCCTGCCGAGACAGCACAATGTGGCAAACGCTATGGTCGTTCGTACGCGGAACGTTAGGGAGCGCTCGAATCATTGTGCGCTCTGGCGCGCGAGCGGTTTTGTCACGTGGAAATTTTTGTATTTCGCGGGCATTTGTAATTAGCAGAAGAGCGCGAATACTTAACAGATATAAAATTTAAAACTGTCTAATTGGGCGTTTCGCAACCCAACCTACAACTTTCTCATTGAAATTTTTATCCATCTTCATTTCTTGGAAAATTACTTAATTAAACAGATCTAGTTAAACAATATTTGAGAACGCAAAAAAAGTCTTACTAATTCCAGGCAACGGCGAACTACATGTATTTGGCCGCGTCATAATTACGTGTTTAGGCTTGTTTTAAAATTCTGGCTGAAGTTACGTGGGCCAGCCTGTATAAAGGTGACTTGTGTGACTTTGCACATTCGGAAGCCCATGTTCAGCAAGGCAGTTTCTATTAAACAGTTGCAATGATATTTTTCCAGTGATAACACCACAGTACCTCAAATGACGGGCTTCTATTTAATTGGCCAGTTTAACCTTGTGCGAATGTACCGACTTCGAGCATTTATATTTTTACAAAACTAGTATTTATTACACAGTATCTCTATCACATCTCTTACTTTGCCAGAAAAAAGCTATATGCCTGCTATTTGCCATTATGCATGTCTAACATTTTATATGGTGAATTTAAATACGTAGCTCGCGTAGTTCACCCAATAATTATAAAATGTTCGAAATTACGTATACATGCAGTTTTGAGTTTCTTGCATACATAATCTTTTGCCGAACTTAGTTGGTGCACTTCGCACTTAGATCACGTTTCAAGGGTGTATTAGATGTGACGCAACAACGTTTCAAGGCGTGTGCAGGTGAAGAATCTCCCTGTCCCTAACGAGCACTTCAGTCGAAGTGTCACACGCGTTGTGGCATTTAGACTCCACCGAATTGCGGCCACCATGATCGGGGATGAAACATTAATCGATTTCATAAGTTGTCCCTAAATTTAGTGGAAAAGATTACCGTGTTTAGAGCCCAGAGGGCACCAGCAACCGTATACCTCGAAATAAGTTTTAAATATAGAGAACGACGCGATTTAGGTAATTATTTGCACAGGTATAGTTAGGCCAAGAACCTGAACGTTTCGCCACACACACTATCTCTACGATTATAAACAAATATGAAGTATTTACATTGCAGAATTGTGGGCTTAAAAAAACGCTGGGGTTAACGTGCCTCCGAGCTCCAAAAAATTCAACGACACTGCCACAGCTTGCCGAGTGTATGGTGCGTTTGTCGAGGTGCGCGTCAAGTAGTCACAAAATTATCGATGCAGGTAACGGAACAGACTTACCAACCACCGTAAGATTGTAGGTGCAAGAGGACATAGACAGTAGCTCCGAGTCGAAAGCGTCGCAGACGATGATGTGCGTTCCGTAGGTCATCACTTGTGTGGCGGAGCAATTGACAACAGCGTTGGTGCCGTTGAACGCTTCGAACATCGGTGCTTCGGCGACGACCGGGAACGATACGTTACGTCCGTCCACGACAACCACTTCGTGCTTGCAGCCTTGAGACAGCTGGGGATCCCGAAGCTCTGCGTGAAAGAAGATTTTCGCAAGCAGCTACACCCGCAGAGCAAACGGCCACATCATTTTGGGCAGGATGTGACGCGACACAATAATCCGCCTCTTTAGGAATTGCCTCTACGAAAAACTATCCCCCGCTATTTTTACGCTTGAATAAAAGACTTCTGTGAAAGCGCATCTTCAGTCTTTGACACGAAATGAAGGGCTTTCAGTTCATTTTTGTTATGTGCTTTATCGGACACCAAAAGAACTTGTATGACTACCGTTTGCTGTGCCAACGCACCAATTAGACAAGTGTATAGCTACTTAATTTCAAATTCATGGTACATGTGTGATCATAACCACTTTGTGCTGCAAGAACGTTCTCGTGGCTCACGCAATGAGACATTACCAAGTTAGAACTCTGATTTATTTTTGCTCTATTGCTGAGACATAGCATTCGTTACACAGGTTGAAAACAAGGTACGTGCAAACGAGTAACTATAGGTACTTCAGCGTTGAAGTGGAATGAGGGTCTTGAAAGTGCTTATTATTCTACGTTAGTATAGGCAGGCATGTTAATTTATAAATGGTGATATCAAAGTTTTGATTGAAGAAAAAAGTAATGACAAATTTCTACATTGTAGGAAAGAAGTGTAAAATTAAGAGGTCATTGTTCGTTAGATGCAGTATTAATTAGAACATACAGACAACGTTGTCAAGGAACGTATAGAGAATGCTATTAGTAATAGGAGCAATGTAAATAAGAAGAAAGAAAACTACCCGAAAATATAACTTGCCGCTGGCAAGGACCGATTTTGCGACCATCGAATATCCCCTCTGATACTCTACTAAGTGAGCTACAGTGGCGGTAATTCCTGCATGCACTTTATGGTGTATGTCAGTTAGCGCCACTAGGTGCCATGAAGGCGAGTATAGAACACCCTTTTTGCGCTTGTTGGCGTCACGTCGCACGTGATGTTATTAGGAGCAGGCAGATGACCAATAATCTTCCGCATACTACCGAAAGGCATCAATTCTGCCAGATCGAGACCCCCGCTATGAATGAAGGAAATGAGTGTACATTTAAGGGCTCGTTCTATTTGTTAGACACAATAATAATGAGAACTAAGAGACAATAAAGCTGTATAGGGGATGTTATAAGTTTTAATTGTAAGATGATGTGTAGTGTTTTGCGGCGCAAGGGCCATTTGACGACCAAAGAGCGCCAGATTATAGAACAAGAGATGTGAACATTGAGTATATTGAATGGCTATATAAGGGACTTAATTCCTCGCGCTAAGGCGGGTAAAACATAGAAGTAATAAAATCATGACAGTGACGTAAAATGTGTAGTGAGAATGGGTGGCTGAAGGTTGCAATAGTAAACGCATGGTGAAGATATTTGGCACTAGCACAAGTGCCTCGTCAGCGTCTTTGTGTTGTTGCGTTCAGCGCCTATAGGCTTACAAGGTAGCGGCGTTCTCTTGATCTCCAATCAAGTCGCCGATAGGCTGCCGGCCTATATTCGCCATGTACTGTCCCTACCAGCCGAAAGGTGAGGCGTCGTACCGCCACGACGCCTTAAGCCGCCTCATGAGACGACGACAAGTGCAAAATCTCCCTAAGAGACAGCGGCGACCGACAAAAATTACCCCGCTAATTGAGCGAGCAGTCTGGTCTACCTTTTCGAGCTTCTGCGGCGGCCCCTTTGATGTATACGCTGTCGTGAGCTTGGGACCCCTCGCCCAGTAGCACACACACGACGAGGAAGAGCCCCGTTGGTGACACATTGGAGTGCAATGACCATGCCTCAATATTGGACGTTTACGTGGGCCCTGTATGCTGGCCACTCTCGCAGCTTGTGTGTAATAGTGTAACACGTGATTGGACAGCGCCGTCTACACGTATTCCCCGATCTAGGGATCTGGGGAGAATTTACTCATTATAATGAGCCACCCGGCTCATTCGAAGGAGTGTCACGTTCTAGATAGTGCGATGTAGAGAAGGTCGCCATGTAGAGCGCACCACGTAAAAGAGCTCGCCATGTAGGAGAGCTCTTCATGTACGAAAACTCGCTAGGTACATAATGAAATCAAACCCTCTTTAAGTCTCCTTTCCTCTTGCCTCGGCGTCTTCATCCCAAATATCGGGTACCTGGAAACCACGGTCGCAACAACTGGATGGCAGCGTTGGGATGGGACTCAGCGACGGAGAGCGACATGGACCGGAGGTCAGCCGAAAGCCCCAGCCCTGGAATTTGGCGGGATCAACGCGGCCTACCACGACCGCATGTAATGGGGTGAGTGCCTGGCTTTGTGCTTGAGATGAATCGAGTCCTTTAGCCTAGACCCGTTAAAAGATAGATAGAGCCAACAACTGTCAAGCCGCTGTGGTTGTTATCTCAACCCGGAGCAGCACTTCATAATTATCTGAGCGAGTAGGTTAAGCAAGAAAGCTTAGGTAATTCAGTAGGAACACGCGCAAATTTTCCGGAAGTTTTAAGGGCACGTTGCAGCAAGGTTTTGGGATGTTCGACAGCGCAGAGGAGTGAAAAAAGGGAAAAAAAAGAAAAAAGAGGGATGTTTGCTACGTGGTGCTACTTGTGTGTTTATGCCTTTGGTCACCACTGTGGGATTTGTCAGGCTTCAGTTTTTCCAGACCCAGAATTGAAATTGGAGGGTTTATGTTTTATTGCAGCTGAGCCAAAGCAGAGTAGTCACAATGCACCTTATGAGATCGACGTGAGATAACCTCCTAGTCTTGTGTTGAGATCTTCATTTAGAATTTGATGATGATATGCCTGCATTTAAACTCCGTGATGTAGTTCTCCAAAGCAAAAGTAACAGAGCTAATGTTGAGTACTTCGGAAATAAGTACCTAATTGAACAAGAACGAACAGAAAATGAGAGGACAAGGCTTGAAGAACACAGGAAGGCGATGCAAGAAACAAAGGAGGAGATTAAAAGAGTAGAACACAGGTTAGATACAAAACAGCAGAGTTGCCAATTTGTAGAGGTAGCACACGAGAATTGCGACGAACAGTTTCGCGCGGGGCAATTCAATGCCACAAAGGCTGGCACATGTATAGGTAGTAGCAGGTTCACGATTGAGCAGAGGTTCACAGCAGTGAAAGAAGCTGTGCTAAGAGGAGAGGCCGACGAAGGCCAGAATGAATGCGGCGAGTTGCTGTGCCAGCGAAATTTTAGTAAAAGAGCTAAGATAGATGGATCTTGCCTGCGGAGTCCAAAAAGATTTCGACCCACTAGGCAAGAACACTGGCATTAGGCCAGCAGAGTGTGAAGAAGTAGCAAAGGGTAGAGTAATTGTGGGCAGCTCCCAGGCATGTAAGCTGGGTTCACGTGAGTACGTCGCCACGGTGGATCCTGCATACGGCGTCTGTCCAAGAGGATTTCGGCCCACTAGGCAGGAACACCGGGGTTAATACAGGAGATGAAGCTCTGGTAGAGATTATCGAGTGCAATGCAGGTATGGACTACTCTCAAGATTGCGAGCTAAGTTGTTTGGAAGAAAACAGCTGCACTGTTACTAGTTGCGTTGAGCTGTACGCCAGTCGTGATAGTGAGGGAAAGAATGATTTAGGCGCAAATCTTTTAGACTGCGCGAGCGAGACAGCTAATGAAAGCAGCCAGAGTTCTCGCGAGAAAGAGAGGCGAGTGGAAGGGTCAGAAATAGGCCCCAAGAAGAAGTGTGGCAGCTTGGGCTAGTTGGTATGGCATGACGATAGTTATAGCGCGAAAACAAAACGACGACACAGAGACAACAAGAAGGACACGATAGACACGAGCGCTCGTGTCTTTCGTGTCCTTCTCGTTGTCTTTGTGTCGTCGTTTTGTTTTCGCGCTATAACTATCGTCACCTCAAGAAGAGGCGTAGACGGAAGCGGCGTCGTAAAGGCAGGAGTGCGACAAAGAGCACAGCCTGCTTGAAGAAAGGCAGTAGACATTTGAACCTAGTAAGCCGAATAAGACGTTCTTCGTTGGCGCCGCAGGTGTTTTGCATGCGTCCGAATCGCCGGACTTGGAGAAAAAGGGCGCATTGGGCGAAGATGCGGACAGAAGGAAGGGGACAGTGAGCTTCCCGTCGTTCCATTCACGATACGTTGGATGGGGTGCGGGAGTACAAAGTCAGCGGTCGTCAAGAAATAGCCGAACGAGCGCAAGAACTCGATTTACCAGCGACGGGCTTAGTGGGGTTCAGAGACAAAGCGAATTGCTTTCGCGATTATTTAGTCCCCGCTCGGTAAGAAAGGCCCACAGAGCGCAACCACTGCGAGTACGGCTGAAAAAGGAGCGAACAGCCATGAGCTTTTGAGAGATGATCGCTTGTGAATTTGTGTTTTTGGTTTTTAAGTTCTGTTTTGACTGTTTAAGTTGGTTTTGCTTTTGGAAAGTGTTTTGTAAGTATTTAGGCTACGAGCTGGCGTTTAGGTAACAAGTGCTAGGTTTTGTTTATTTCTTAAGCTTTGTATGTTTGGGTTTGAAAGGTAAGCGTTGTGCAGTTGCATACCGACGCGCACAGGAGCGTTTGTCCAGGAAAAGCGACGTTAGAAACTGATTTTTAGTGAGCGCGGAGACTCAAGGAAATGCCTTGTGAGATTTTTCAGGGCTCGTGCGAAAGTTTTTTTTTGTTATTTTAATGTTTTGTTCGCATGTGTTCAGTGTGGACGTAAGGAAAGTTAGTTCGTTAGACTACGTGTATGTTTTGAGAGTAGTAATCACCAGGGAAACTTAATTAGTAGTTAATTTACACAGGAGCAATATAACGTTCGATTGTGAACGTGTAGAGTGAATTTCCTGGTACTGGTGCAGCACGACCGTTATCTCTTCGTCGGCTCAAAAAAAAATTCACTTCTAGATTTGGGGGCACAACATTTTTGGGCCTAAAAACGGCAGCGTGAAGCAAAAAGTTTGTTCTTCGGTATAAGCCCTGGTAAACTGACAGCGTGTAACTGACGCTGGCACACAACTATGACACGGAGAGTGCATCTATTGATAATTCATTTTTTAAAGCAGTTTATTAGGAAGATTATTCGCGCATCGGGATTGGGAGCTTCGGCGAAAAGTCAATGAAATGTTCCGATCGCTGCTTTGTGTTTGATTATAATACTTAAGGAAGGTTGATTTTAGATGATTTTCGAACTCGATGTGTCTCAGTGCGGGCAGGGCTTTCTCCCATGCATGTGATTGTGTGTATGTGTGCGTATTCTCAGGAAGAGATCAACAAGGTACGAGCCGGTGAGTCCTTGGCTGGGTCATCAGCAGTGGCCTGGAGGACGCCATGAAACAATGACGCATCGGGCAACCTGCAGGTCACCCCCAGGTCGAGTCTTCCGCCGGCGGACGAGCTGTTGCATCCGGCGCCTAGGCTGACAAGGGAGCGGCGTTCTTTAGATCCTCAATCAAGTAGCCAGTCACCTGCTGGCCTATATCCGCCATGTATTGTCCCTCCTATAGCCGGACGGTCGTACCACCGCGACGCCGTGAGACGACAACAAGCGCAACATCTTCCTTGAAAGAAACAGCGGCGACAGCCGCAAATCACCCCGCTAGTTGAGCGAGCAGTCCGGCGGACCCTTTTGAGCAACTGCGGCGGCCCCTTTGATGTATACGCTGTCGTGAGCTTGGGACCCCTCGCCCAGCGGCGCACACACGACGAGGAAGAGCCCCATTGGTGACACATTGGAGTACAGTGACCACGCCTCAATATTGGGTGTTTACGTGGGCCCTGTGTGCTCGCCACCCTCGCAGGTTGTGTGTAACCGTGTAACACATAATTGGACACTGCGATCTGCACGCTTTTCCTGATCTAGGGATCAGGGGAGAATTCACCCATTATAATGAGCCAGCCGGCTCATTCGAAGGAGTGTCACGTTCGAGAGAGTGCGATGTAGAGAAGGTCGTCGTGTAGAGCGCGCCACGTAAGAGAGCTCGCCACGTAAGAGAGCTCGCCATGTAGACAATAATGTACATAATGAAACAGCAGATTGCGTAGATGCACGTTTAACGTTTTGTTCCATCGCGATGGTAAGTATAAAGAGAATACGCAAGCAAGCACACTTTGTTTACGATGATGAGTTCTTACCGACGCACTGGAGGTCGTCAGTCTCGTTCCACTTTCCATTGTCATGGCAAATAAATTTGTTCAGATCGCGTTGGCTTAGTGGAATTACGAATCCTTTATCACAGATATGCTCGCAGGTTGTCCCGGCTGGCCAGTTGCCAACTACGTTGACAGTTTGAGAGCACTGAAGGACGGAGTTTTGCACAGCGCGCGGACTCTCACAACCAGTTTCTGTAAGGCACAGAAAGATTCTTTATTAAAACGAATCTAGGTGAAGTGCTATGCAAATACTGATTCCAATAAAGCGTAGTAAACTAGCACTGCTCGTGCAGAAATCGGGTAGTACGTTTTCACAAAGGTTCTAGTTAAATGTATCCTACAATAAGACTACTGAACATATGATAGTTTCAAGGAGCAATATTCATTATATTGGTCCTGCCGTTCCCAAACATATCTAGTAATGTCATTATCAGAAAACATATTTTACTTCGGCTGTCTGGGTTTTCTATTATAGATTTTAACATGCCAGATTACTCATGCTATTAGAGACGCTGTACTGGAGGGCTTCGGATAATTTCGACCACATGAGGTTCTTTCATGCGCGCTGAAATTGTACATAGGCCTGTGTTTCATGCACACGTGATTCTGGTAATGGAGATAAAGACGTGCAGTTCCTGAACAACTGCTCCCTATATAATATCATATAAGTACATACTCCACAGCATATCTCGTGTAAAAATGAAACACAAATATACCCTGCCTCAACAGGACAATACCAGAGACACTAATGGCCTGCTAGTTATGTTTATATCAAATTATGCACTTCTTTATTGAATTATCTACCAAGTCTCATTGCTGCATAATTTTCAAATAAAAAGGCTGCCGCATACCAATGTTCTTAGTAAAAATTTAAATATAATATAGTTTCAGTTAGGTTTTATGCACCGAACGATCAAAACAGAAACAAATCTGTTGAAATTTTTTAAATACGCTGCCTAAACCTCAATTTATTCACGCGATGTCTCCAGTTTCAACCAGGAACTGTGTAATTCACATCGTGCAGCCTTATCGATTCGTAGTACCTGCTTAGAGCTATGGCCAGTGCCTAGATGCGACACCTTCAAGAAGCTCTACAGGTAAATAGTCACATGCATGTCACTTCGCAACACATTTCTAGAGGCAGTAGAGCTATGCGCTGCTTCTTGGCCATGTACAGAAATCTACATTCCCTATTTCATCAAACGTCCGATGTATAGCGCATCTAGAGTTGTACAGAGCAAAGTGTACATAACCCCCCCCCCCCCACACACACACTGCGGTAGCTTTTAACAATGCAGTTCACTCCGCGAATCAACAGTACATATACTCTAACCCGATGCGTTACAGGCAACGGGCTCAAACAAACAATCGTACATGTAATGCATATCATCAGGCCATACTGAAATTTTCTACTTTTGCAGTTGATAATTATACAAACGTATACGGTGACTTCAACAGTGTGAAGGGCGGGTCGAACGAAAAGGGAGCAAACACACGGCGCTGGAATAATGCACGTGCTACAAAGCTTGTTCAAACAACTCCGCTCGAACAAAGCCACGCAAGCGTGCCCTCTACGCGGGCAAGTGTAATTGTGATCCCCTACATGCATCGCGTTTCACATAACCTTAAAAATTGCTTCCATGGCGTTGCAACGTGCATGTTTTCTCGGCGCCGAACAAGCTAAACAGTCTTTGCCAAAAGACGAAACCGAGGTGCGCGGGATAAGATGTGTGCGCGATAAGAGAGACTTTTAGTTTAGTGTACGCTAGGCTGTAAGTCCGCAGCATGCTGGGCGATGCGTACGCTACGTCTAAGGCTGCCTCTTACAGCATTAGTTTGCCGTGCGCAACATCCGAAACATGTACTCCACCTGAGTTAAAAAGGCTTAGCGTTGCCTCACGCCATCTCGTAGAGAAGCGAAAAGATGCAATAACCGATAACTCGTTCATGCAATACATGGCACAAGTCAAGGCATGAGACAATTCGATCTCTTCCGAGGACGAGGGGTAGTTTTGGGGTGTTGAAGCTAGGTCGACTAGCAGATCGAGGGAAAGAGACGGCGAAGGAGATCGCTTAGTGCCAATCTAACATTTATTGATTGCAGACATTTCCTAAGATGACGAGAGAAAAAAAGAGAGTTCAACTGGGATTGCTAAACGCTAAATAAAAGAATGCCCCAATTGGCCGCGGCGACTTCATTTGGCATTTTTCACGTGCTGTGAAAGCTGCTTCCACAATGATGAGGGTATCGTGTGCGAGAAAAATCATCCAAGCTTCGTAGAACACGGACGTGCATCCACCCGCATGAACGCTAAATGGATGGTTATCTTTACTTTTATATCGATAGCAATATTATAGAAAGTCTCAGCTGGTTTTTTGCCGTCGCCGCCGCCACCGCCAGCCTTCACCGTATATGTATACATATCTACATATACGAAAGCTCAAGAAAAAAATTGGCCCCGTATCTGGATGTTACACTGCAAATGTCATCGAAAGACGATAGTCTTGCGTCTGGAGAGAGTGAACAAGACGTTTGTTTGATGTTCTGTGCAATAAAATCAATGAATGGTATTCTGGAGGCGCTGCATGCATCAGAGTGCCTCTAGCGTGTAGCGGAGGTGAAAGAACGCAGCATCACGTCCCACGTGAGACATGAGCGCCATCTGGCAGTTATCTTGGAAAACGAAGTGCGCGGCATGTGCGCCCGTCTTGGAGGCGATAAGGTGTAGAACGCAAGACGATGGGTAAGTGCCGCCACCGTGTCGTTTTAGCAAAGCGTCGGAAACACTTTCCTTTTTGAGCATCGTGTTGCGCTGTCAGCGCAGCGTGATAAACGCTACGGTCGTTAGAATTACTTATGTGTGCCTTCTCTAGTATAAAGCCACACATAGAAATTATCAACGTGCTATGGTGCATCAGATATGCACAATAATTGCTTCCAAATTGACAATCGCACAAGTACGAACGCTAAAACTTGAGTAATATTGGCGGGCGCTGCGGATGGGATCCACCGTTTGGGGAATCATTTGGTGTCGTTTGGGGTACCGTTAAGGGTGGACAAACAGACAAATGTACAGACAGACAGACCAATTTTTTTGCGTCAAATGTCTCGAAGAAAGACTATCGTCTAAAAAAAGGTGCCCACGCTTCGCGCCCAGCTCGTCACGCTGCGCTGACGCGTGCTTATTTCCCTCGCGTACTTTGCCCCGCGAAGGAGGGAGGGGGTACATGCTTGTGCGCACGCTTATCTTTCAGTGGGGAGAATCGTCTGCCTTCGGCTTTCACCCGAACGATTGCGTTAGTTGCTGGGCCCACAAAGGTTACTTCGCTCGCTGCACAGGCGCGAGCGCGCTTTTCATATACAGCGAAGTATAACAAGAGGGACACTAGTTAGTTTGCACTCATCTGTACTTGTGATTATGTTTCGTGTGTCATTTCTGCGTGAGCAGCGTGCTATAGACGTTTCAATCTGCTTGCCATTGTCAGCGTCTTATTCCAAGTTGTTGCTATCGCATTAATTGCTACACCCTTGTGACAAAACTGACTTTTTTAACACTTCGAATGCCTTTTCAGGCAGTTATTGAGACATCTCCCAGTAAGACACACGCAGCAACCACCAAGTTGAAAGGAATCACACGCACGACGCCTCATACACAATTCACAGATGCGTCGCGGTGCTTCACGTCATCATTGGGTTCCTGCTTCTTAAATGACTTAGTCCGGTCGTCCAGCGTTGTGCTCCAGCGAAGCACCGATCACAATGCACTGCACCTGTTCACTTATGGGTTTCAGGTTACTTAAGTTCCAAATCTACCGAAATTCACACAGACTTCATTCGCTGCCACGACGAAAGGTAGTATTGCCGGTCGCAGCCATTTTTTCTGTTTTTGTCTCGGCAGTTTGAGATCTCGTGAGAGCTGCCGGTAAGGTAGACAACGGGAGTAGTGGGTGCGACGCAAGTGCCGAGACCTAGCGCACGCATCCTACGCATGCGCAAACGCACGCATCTCTATTTGGTTCAGCGCATGCGCACTCTTGCTCCTTTTCATGCATTGCGTACGCTGGCCGTTGCGCACGCTGAACTAAAATTTGCTAGGAACCATCGTAACAGGCTTGTAGCGTGCCGCACAGGAGTCATCTACCAAATCCCAAAAACTTGTGGCGCATGCTATGTGAGAGAAACCGGTAGATGCGTCAACGAGAGGCTCAATAAGCACAGGAATAAAGTCGTAAAGGCGCAGCCAGAGGGCTTTTTCTCAATTCACTGCAAGGAGTGCGCATTATAACCCCTCTTTATTCACACTAGCATCAATGGAAAGAGCAGTTACGAGATGACAAGGATAATTATCCAAGCACAATTCATCGCCAAGTTTGGCAGCACGTGCATTAGTAAACCCTCTGTATATTTATGAGCTAAAAAAATAGAATAATTGAGTGTGACATGATGATAGGCATCACATGTACGATTGTTTGTTCGAGCACGTGGTTTGTAAATCCCAGGGTTAGGGTATATGTACTGTTGATTCTCGCAATGAACTACATTGTTGAAAGTTAGCGCCATGTGTGCTTGTGTGTGTGCGTGCGTGTGTACGTGCGTGCGTGCGCGTGCCTTGCTCTGTACTGTCCTAGATGCGCTATACATCGGATGTCATGGAAAACCAAAAAGCCCACCTGCAACTCTAGTTGAATTCATCAAGCATGCTTACTTAGGCATAGCAACTCCTCCTTCTGACTCCAGGAACCGTCTTCGGAACAAACAAATTGGTTGTGTTGTTCTAGGTCCACAGGAACGGCAAATCCTTCATTGCACACGTATGAACACACTGTACCAAATGGACGCTTCCCTAAAACATTAAAATCGGAGGAGCAGTTGATAACTGAGTGTGGCACTTTTCCTGGTTCTTGACAACCGGTTTCTGAAAGAAGGAAAGCCCGCCGTTTTTATCACTGTAGAAAATGAAATGTTCAGAAATAAATTAGAATTGTTTCAGGTCTGAGTGCATTATTCCGGTGAACGTGAGAATTATGATTTTATGTAACGGACTGAGATCCTGAACGCCATTCTTAATGAAAAACTTTAACACTGTTCTTTACGATTCTATCAAACCCTGACCATTGCCTTTCGTGCAGTTACTCTGAGGCCTATTGAAAGTAAAAATACATTTAGCACTTACCCCGACAATGAAGACCCTCGGTTTGATTCCAGGTACCGTCATCAAGGCAAATAAATAAATTGAGGTGAACTTCATGGCGAGAAACTGCGTATCCTTCATCGCAGACATGTGAGCATTCAGTCGCCACAGGCCACCGTCCTAATGTATTAACGCTTCCTGAGCAGTTTACCATAGAGAACTGGACCGCAGAAGGATCCTCGCAACCAGTTTCTGGTGAAGAGAAATATACAAGCGCACCACATAGAAGCTTCTTAGCGTGATGAAATTCAGAAAACACACGTTAAAACACAGCCATTTAGTCTACTGAATGTCATTAAACTGTTTAATTCTTCCTGTTCTCACTAATGGCAGCTGCTATGCTCTAGCACAAATACGTACTTTGACAACGTAGTTTTTCAGTATAGTTCCATGTGCCATCATCGTGACACATAAAGCGGTTGAAAAGAAGCTGGCTCTTTGCGAGGCCATATCCTTCTTTGCAATCATATGAGCACATCGTGCCTGCTGGCCATCTTCCTAAACTGTTGGCCTCTGACGTGCAGTTGAGTATAGCGTCTTCCACCTGCGTCGGGCTTTTACAGCCTGCTTCTGTTGAGAGGAGAAAGATAAGGCGCGATGCTCTTAAGTCGCGCCACAGTAAAAAAAAAGAAAGATGTGATTCTGACACATAGGGCTACTTTAATGAAAAGGAAATTTTGAGTAAAGTGCACTCACCTTCACAGAACAACTGGTCGGTTATGCTCCACGTGCCGTCTTCGCTACAGACAAAAGAGTCAAGCCCATCTTGCATTTTCGGAAGAGTATATCCATCGTTACAAACATATCGACACAGCGTGCCCACAGCCCACTTTCCATCTTGGCTGGTGCCGTTAGAACACTCCAAAACAGCATTCGCTCTGTTCGGTGGGTTATCACAAGTCACTCCTGAAACGCCAGGCTTCTTGTTAAAACACACCGGCACAAAGGTTGGTGCACCGGAAAGAAACAGATTACACTGAACGTTTCTATGGTTGACAGATTTGCCTGAGTACTCACTGTGACATTCTAAATGCGTATCGTGGTCCCACGTACCATCCTCTTGGCAAACAAATTCGCTAAAAGACAGCTGGTTCGATGGAAGTGTATATCCCTTGGAGCACACAACTTTGCAAACTGTGCCAGCAGGTCGATTGCCGAAGCCGTTGGCCTCGTTGGAACACTGAAGCGAAGAGTCACGTGCCGGATCCAAATTGGCACACCCGCTCTCTAAAATGCAACGTATATACAATCACACACTTTTAGAGCAAATGTTTTACGACCACTCACTGAGGCAGTCTAAGTGTACTGTCTGGTTCCACATGCCGTCCTCTTGGCAAACAAACCGGCTAGATGATTGAAGGTCTAAAGGGAGCGTAAATCCTTCATTGCATTGTACTTCACATAGCGTGCCAGTTGGTCGATTTCCAAGGTGGTTGGCGTCATTGGAGCACTTCAGTGAAGAATCGGGCACCACATCAGGATGAGCGCATCCAGTTTCTTTAAAGAAAAACGGTTATTCTCTCTCTCGCATTTTTCTTTACAAATACTGCTGCTGGTTTATGGAATACACTTCCTACAGAAGTAACCTTATCATCGATTCAGCATTTATCTAATTCACTGCGCCAGTACTTACTGTGCAACCGCCTAATTAAAAAGAAGCTTAGTTTCCCTTCATGTATTGTGCACCGTCCAGCCTTTTGTACATTTTCTTCTTTTTCACATCTTTTCTTTCACGGTTTGTATAGTCTAGTTTCCTCTTACATATTGCATAATAAGTTGTTTTCCTTAGTATCGACCTATGCGTAAGACCTTTTCACGCGGATATAAATAACACCATTTGTCATAGGGACCCTTTCCATGACTCAGCCGAGTTCTGGGGGTCCCAACTAAAATATTAGTCGCTGTCCTCTATTTTGTTATGAATAATGAACTGATTGACTGATCTCTCCACCCTCTAAAATGTATGCAAATATAATGTAACGAACGCATAAATAATATTCCATGTAGCGTGCCGCATCTTAAGATATTATTTAGGGTACTCACCACGGCATTCTAACTGTGCTGATTGGTTCCACGTTCGATCTTCCTGACAAACAAATGAGCTAAAAGACTGCAGACTTGGCGGAAGTGCAAGCCCATCGTCACATACCACATGGCAAGTTGTGCCTGGGGGCCATTTTTCAAGGTCTCCAGCATTTTCAGAACATTCAAGAGAGGCGCCAGGCACTGCGTTTGGACTTGAGCATCCACTGTCTAAAATGCAATACATAAAAATTAAAATTGGTATAACAGCAGTGCAAAAGCCATACTCGACCACTGACATTGAGAAACTGATAAGTGCGTGCCTTGCTCACAATTTAGTGGCGGAGAACATCCCTTCAATTTAAGCAGGTTACATACAGCGTAGCAGTGACCAAACATGCCGCACTATTACGCGGTAGTGTATTCACCATTGTATACTCACTGGGACATTATAGCTGTGCTGATTCCATGTTCCTTCTCCCTGACACAAAAAAATGGTCAAGGGACTGTTTGTTGTCTGAACGGAGTTGGGCATTGAATTGGGACTCGGACATCCGTTATGTAATGCGTTAACATTGAAATGGTTATAGAAATGGTGTTCCTGGGGCTAAGTCATCCGAAAAGGGTTTGTTCACTGAGAACCTGGATAACAGCGCTCGTCATGTACAGGACGGACTTGACGTGCTGGTCACGAATCACAGCCGTATTCGCAGAAGCAGACGTACTGGTGTACTCACTGCGGCATTCTAGCTTATCCGTCTGGTTCCACATGCCATCTACGTGGCACACGAATCGATTAAGGGATTGAAGGCTCGATGGAAGCGCATGTCCGTCGGCGCACACTACCTTGCAGATTGTGCCTGCAGGGAACTTGCCGAAGTGGTCCGCGTCCGTAGAACACTCCAGCGAAGCGTCACTCACTGGGTTCGGACTTGCACAACCGACACCTAAGGTGCGATGTGTTTATTTAGAGTAATGGAGAAACAGAAAGAGTAAGTTTTACTTACTGGAGCATTCAAGAGTTTGAGTCTGGTTCCATGTACCGTCCTCTTGGCAAACAAACTGGTTAAGGGACTGCATGTCCGGTGGAAGAGCAAGTCCCTCTTTACACACAACTTTACACAACGCGCCAGTCGGGTAGCGGCCAAGATGGTTAGCTGTCTCTGAGCATTCCAGCGATGAGTCAGGTACTGGATCTGGACTTGCGCATCCGCTCTCTAAAATAGTAAGCACACCGGATCAGAAAATTGCGTGTCGGTAAAACCTACCTTAATAACTCACCGTTACATTCAAGTTGTGCCATTTGGTTCCATGTTCCGTCCCCTTGACAAACGATCTCGTTGAGGGAGTGTTGATTCGGCGGAACTGAAAACCCTTCGTCACACATAATGTTGCATGTAGTTCCCGTAGGCCAGTTTCCGGTAGGATTGACGGGGTTTGAACAATTGAGCACGGAGTTTGGCAGAATGGCGGGACTGGCACACCCGCTCCCTGGAAAAAAAAATGTATTTAGGAAGTCACAGTGAAGTTGACTACATTAGCAACACGCAGACGGGTTGCACATTCATCCCACTTTTCTAACAGTTTGACAAATTTCTACTTGCTTTACAAACTTGCTCTATGAGCATTCTCAAAGGTTCTTTTGTTGATCAGGTCTCAAGAAATGACCAAGGTAACTTAGTCTTATATCGTGGCCGAGTAAAGGCACGAACGCCGGAACCAGACAGGAACAAATATGTTTATTTTCAAAAAAGGCTTCAGTTTCATAACGCTGATCACGACATTATTACTTAATAGCTAGCTTGGTAACCCATGTCCCACCTGGGTTCTATTTGTTGCTACACTATGTATGAAAAACAAGTGGTGCATCAGCATTCATGTTCGGTGGTTTTATTTTCCCTAATGCGCATGGAAAGAAGAAAAAGTGACTAAGTTCCGATTGGGTAACAAACGAGGTTCTGCCTAACACATGCACGCACGCTCACACAGCACTCCTTGGAGCGACCAAGTATTTATTTTAGTCGTTTAGGTTTACGAAAAGAAACAGCACGAAGGGTTTTCTTCGCACACACACACAGTGGTAGTTGCTGAGCAGGTACAGGTCGGTTCGCTGTTAGAGGGAACACGCGAGCACGTGGCGCAGCGCCGTGCAGCGCCAAGTGGCGAAATCCAAACGATTGCGCAAACCGACGCGGAGGCGGCACATTTCCCGCGTCGTCTGCTATACTAAAATGCTCCTGTCATAGCTCGCGTGCGGCCTCACCGACATGGCTCTGCTCACCGTGCAATCGCCCGTCAAAAGTCGCGAAGTGGCGTGACAGCACGCGGGAGCTATTCGACGGAGTGGTGGGCCGTGGAAAAATGTTTAGTGACACATTTCTATTACTAACAAGACGTACTAAACAGAGAACACAATATTTATTTAGGCCTCTCCGTACAAAAAAAAAAAACGAAATGCATTCGTACTGAAAAAGTGCTTCACATTCATCGCACTTTTCTAACAGTTGGACAAATTTCTACTTGCTCTACAAACTTGCTCCATGAGATTTCTCAAAGATTCTTCGGGGAAAGGAAGGGCGCAAAAATTTTCAACAAGCCCAAGATGCATAGCAGAAGACAACAGCGCTACACAAGTTAAGAAATAGCGCTGGTGTCGTCCTTTATGCGTCTTTTGTTTCATTATCTGTTTCACCTATTTCTTCACCTGTTGCAACCATGCACCAACCAGCCCAGGACTGAACCCGAGCAAACCTTATCCTTGAGTGGAGAGATCCATATGTAGTATTTCACGCAACGTTTCGGCGCGGCTGTTGACGCACGATATCTCGGCAAGGCCTAGACAGCGCGGCCACGCTCCGGCGAAGGAGTGTTTTAGCAGCAGACGACGTGTTGCATGTACCGCCAATGCGTCACATTGCTCATGCGCTTTGTTTTCACCGCTTGCTGTGCAAGGCACTGCGCAGAACGAGAGCCAACGGGCTCACGTGTTCCCTCTAACAGTGGAGCAACCTGTACATATACAGTGGACGGCTCCGGAAATGTCGGCAGCCTGGTGTTCTTCAACGTGCGCCTAAATCTAAGCATACGTGCCTCCAGCATTTTATTCTCCATCGAAAATGCGGTCGCCGCAGCGATAATCTCTGGCTCCCTGTAGCATAATCCCAACAAGTTAGCCCAACACTGCAGGACGTGCTTTTGGTGTAGAAACACGGCGTGCCTCATACTCATATGGCGGTTCAGAACGTAAAAGCACACATGTTATTATATTATTATTATTATTATTATTATTATTATTATTATTATTATTACTGGCATCATCGTCATCATCATCATCATTGGAGAGAAGGAAGTAAGTGGTATGAAAAATTCCTGCACGCAGTGTGCGTAAGTTCACCGAGCCGCATCTCTTGACTTCAAGCGTGTAAACACTCGCGCTTGCGTACACAAATCGGTCGAGCTACGCTTCTGAGGCCATGGCTTGCTTAGAAGCTGGGTTGTAAACTTGGCACGACATATTTCACAGCAGGCCACCTTCTTTCGTTCCTTCATAGCGAGGACCTCGCCACACTAGACTTGATGCGACCCGATCGAAAAAACAGCGTTTCCAGTGTCTCTCTGTGCGTTTCTGTGCGTTTCAGTGCGCTGGGTGACACTGGGAACGCTAAACAGTGTGTTCCAGTGTGCTAAAGCATGCTGGGAGCCACTGGGACCCACTGTACAGCGTGTCCGAGTGTCGTAAAGCGCGCTGGCACGCGCTGGTCACGCTGTACGGTCTCTGCCGCGCACTGAGAACATAGGCAGCAAACTGGAAGAAACTGGGCGCGATGCCGGTGCACCTCCTGTAAGATATCATATTGAATCGTGAGATGTTGAGCGTAAAATTTACCGAATGTAAGGGTATTTTAATCTATGTGCTGCATATATATATATATATATAGCTGAAGCTTTAGTTAGGCAACGGATGTGCGAGTACGTTAAAGCAATCATCTGTAGAGCTCGCGGGTCAGTGGGCGGCGCCAGGATATTTTTCTTGGGAGGGGGAGGGGGCAGGCACCCACGACAATTGTGTTCTTTCAGAGGAGCAGAGAGACACAGAACTTATGCGTCGCGTTTTCACTATGCTTCATGTTCGTGAGGGGGGGGGGGGTAGGCGAAAATTTTCGGGAGAAGCTCCAGCCCACCCGTGCCCACCTTGGCACGGGAGCGCTTTGCTTGAAGTGTGCTCGACTTTTGTCTATGTAATTCATAAACCGCATAGATAGAATTGATAATTCGCAACACAGTAAGACAGTATAGTATTAGTCTGATTATTAAGATGAACCTGCTCTAGCAGTCAGTCATTTCGGATCGCACCGCAAAAATCCGCACGTCCCCGACAGCAATTAGCCACTGAAATGCCCAATATCGGTGTTTTCAGCTTCTGATTCGTGCAGTAGAAGGTGAAAATATGACCTCTCGTGGGCCAGCTAGTATCTAAACTATATTTTAACGGTTATTATACTCTCCGTAACTGAATATCGACGATGTTCACAACGATAGTGGCACACGAAATATACGACCCTAAGCCTAATGGTCGTTTCGGCTAGAACTACTGCGGCTGTTGTACGCGGAACGTAAACCAGGAGGACAGAAAACACTTCCAAACGAGTGACGATATCTACAGTGTTCAGTGAGCAGTTCAGATTCACGCTGTTTTCTATATTGATATGACTACCTCATAGCGAGTCACTGTGATTACCGTAACACATCTGCGGTTACGCTTACAAGTTTTACGGCATAACGTGCCAGATAGGCGTGATCCACGGGAACCCAAAACAAATCGGCTAACAATCACCTCTTAGGTTGGCGTGAGCACAAATAGACGAAACCCTGAGTTTCTAAGCGATAAAATGAAGGTCTTGTATACCCGAACTAGTTTTAGGAAGAATGAAAAATACATCTATCTCGTCTTCAGGTTTGGTGTAGTGGACAGCGTGTCGGACTCGGTATGCGTGATGTGATAAGGTGGTAGGCTCCACACCAGCTCACTAAGTTTTTTGTTTTATTTTTTTTTCTTTTTCCGCTGTGCTCGTGTTTCAGCCTTTATTACAATGCGCACATGACCAAATTGAAAAAATAATTTAAAAGCTAGATTTTGGTCGATAACGGGTGTCCCAGTGTCCAGCGTGCCTCCTGCACTGGAGCGTGCCAGCGTCCCAGTGTCCAGCACCTCCCTGCTCCAGTAATCATCAGGTATGGTGCTGGGACAGTGCCACTGGGTTTCGCTATAGCGAAGCGTTTTCTGGTTAGCTGCCGCCTCGTGAAAAGAAGACGACGCTCTCTTGCAAAAAAAAAAAAAAAGGTTTCCAGACTCGCCATTTAGACAACGAAAGCTACTGGCCAATAATAATAAAATCTGGGGTCTTACTCCCAAAATGATTATGAGGGACACCTCAATGGAGGACTGACGGCATTTATATCATCTGGTGTTCATTACCATGTACTAACATCACACAGAACACGGGCCTCTAGCAAAAGTGTGGAGAGCTGGGCTTGTTGGCTTAAGTACATAGTTAAAAAACAGCGCGAAATACCACACTACGCATAGGAAGGGCACGCACACAGCACTGACAGTGCGTGACAATTGTGTCAGCACCTCGTCAATCGCATTATTTATTGAGGAAATAGAGTATCTACGGAAGCGGAAGCGGTTTTCGTAATCTAGCTGTCTTGGTTATGCTGTTGTTGGCCTATCTTGCTATGTCAGGTGATGTAGTGCTATGCGTGTGGTTATCGTGCGTATTTATAGGCGATCAATTTGTTTTTCGCCACGAGTTTTGGAGTCAGCGCTGTGGGCGTCCCCTTTTTGTGTGTCCTGTAGTTTTCTGCACAGCTTTCTGATCAGTGCCTCTACCATTTCGCCCCCACGGAAATGTGACCGCCACGGCCGGGATCGAACCGGCGGCATTCGGGTCAGCAGCCGAGCACTGTAACTACGGATCCACCATGACGGACAGCCGCTGGCTATATTAGTCTCAGGGTTCATATACACAGAAATACCCCACAAAGTGAATAAATAAGGGGGGTGGGTCGCCCATCATCGTAACTGAATTGGCAGAGTATCGGATGCATATTTCGGAGGTATTAGTTCGGTCACCTCGAGCGGAAAGGGTGATTTTGTTTTTCGTTCCATTTATTCCTCTAAATTTACATCATGATGTTCCCTGTGCTTTCCGTGGAATAACTGTTTGTTGTTTTTAGTTGGTTGTGTCTAACACAATAACAATTATCACGAAACTCTTAAGTACTGAAGGGTCACACGATAAATCTTCCAAACGACTGAAAAAAAACTTATGATTTAGCTCAGCATACTACTCGGCGCTTGTTTATGAATCTCCCTTGCATATGCAGTGTCACCGGCTCGTCTTGGAGTTTCATGATTTCAAGGCTGCTGTAGCAGTGTAACGCTGCGCGACATGATAAGGTGATTTCGAATAGGGGCTCGCTTTGGGTCATGCACTTGCATGCGTTCGCTTTGGGTCAGGTAGGAGCTAAGAGTTTTCAAATATAGGGTCTGGCCGCTTCCTACAATCCTCGCGCTCTAGGTCACTCTAGTTTTGGCCCAGAGGCACCACTTCAGCGAGTGCCATCATGTTTGTTTGACGCGAATCTCTTGGTACAGACTTCGGAGCCCCCACCAAGTTTGAGAAATAGCGTCCCAGGTAGTCACTTCCACCAGCGAACTAACGACCTCAGACATTTGAATCGACTCACCCGGAGAGTATCTGGCGCCGGCGGTGCTTACGCAGATTTTAGCTTTCTTTTTAACGCGAGAGCACTAAAGACCGCATTTCACCGAAATTACGTTGTCCGCGTCAGCGACCTTGGTGAAAAAAAATGGCCCCGTATCTGCATGTTACACTGCAAACGTCGTCGAAAGGCTATAGTCTTGTGTCTGGAGGGAGTGAACAAAACGTTTATTTGATGTTCTACGCAAGAAAATTGGTGAATGGTATTCTGGAGGTGCTGTGTTAGGGTGCCTCGAGCGTTCAGCAGAGGCGAACGACCGCATCAAGTCACGCCACACGTAGGACATGAGCGCTATCTGGCAGTTAAGTGCGCGCGCCCTGCGCGCTGGTCTCAAAGGTGATAAGGTGTAGAACGCAAGGCGACGGGTAGATGCCTCCACCGTGTCGTCTTAGCAAAGCGTTGAAAACACTTGCCTTTTCGTGCAAGCGTTGCATGGTCAGCGCAACGTAATAAACACTACGGTCCTTAAAAATACTTATGTATGCCGTTTCTAGTAAGAGACACACATGCAGAATATAAACTTGTTGTTATGGTGTCTCAGATATGCGCAACAATTGCTTTTTAATTGACAATCGCACATGTAAGACTGCTAAATCTTGAGCAATATTGGAGGGCGCTGCGGATGGGGTCCACCGTTTGGGGAATCATTTGGTGTCGTTTGGGGAACCGTTAGAGGCGGACAAACAGACAAATGTACAGACAGACAGACAGACAGACAGACAGACAGACAGACAGACAGACAGACAGACAGACAGACAGACAGACAGACAGAGACAGACCAAAACTTTTGTGTCGAAGGTTTTCAAGAAAGACTATCGTCTTTTTAAAAATCCACGAATCTCCACAAAGTGAATGACGACGAGTGGGCGAAGCTTGGTCTGAGGGTCGACAACGTTTACGTTAATGTCACCGATTAGTATAAAGGACGAACGGACAGCGCAGGTGATAATCTATTGTGGTGTTGTATAATACTTGATTGATGTACACATAAAATCAGTTTTCTACACAGGCGTTTAAGCTTTTCGTTGTGGAGGTGTTCAGTTTCGGTTTAGTGGAGCGTGGCGGAAGCCGACAAGACTGGGCCCTAAAGAGCTTGACTTGTAAAAGCAGCGTTGGCCACGAGCTGAAATTCAAGCTAGATTCAATAAAGATATAGATGCTGAAGGGCGTTTGCACTTTGGTATCCTTGCGGTTCAGCCGCCACCAAGACGCGAAGGCAGGCTAGCGATTGGGAGGGTGATAATGTGCATGTGCGTCGGTGAGCGTGCGTGCGAGCGTGTGGGCGCGCCTGCATGAAAATAGCAATCACGTTCAATTCTTAAAGACGTATCATAAGAGTTCCCGCATTTTTAAGGTATTCTCTATTTTCAGCCCAGCAGTAAAAATTACGATGGCCAGCAATCATGAATCACATTGATGTTTGTTAGTCAATGAAGTTTGAAGTAACAAAAAAAAAATCATTCACCTGTGCAAACCAAATGCTTTTTTTTGGTGAAATACAAAAACTTAGGACTCACCGACACACTGGGGTTGATCTTGCCGGTCCCACTGTCCGTTGGCGAGGCAACTGACTTCAGCCAATGGCAGTTGACTTTGGGAGATCTCGTAGCCGTTGTCGCAAATGTGCCTGCAGATGGTGCCGACGGGTCGCATGCCCAGTGTGTTGACATCGGCCGAACATTTAAGTGTAGCATTCAGCCCGGGCTGTGGGCTGTTGCATCCACTCTCTGCAACAGCACGTGAAAATGCTCATGTCATACGCAGAAAACTGCTACTGTTACACATATGAAACGTTTTGTGCGATGCTCTTTGTAAAAGAAGGGGGAAATAAAATAAACACATGATACAAAAAACAAGCACCATTTATAATGGTGATGTATGTGTCACAAGAGGTAGAAGCGATCACTTGTGTGTAAGAAAGCTGATATGAAAGTAGGGATAATGAGTACGAGCCCTCTCCCCCCTGTCCCCCCCCCCCAAAGTAATTCTAAGGAAATAAATGATGGCATCAACGGGCCTACAAACCAAAATAAATATCACACTCCAAAATTGGCCACTCCAAAGTCGGCGTGACCCGGAAACATTCCACATTTTTGCAACCCCAAAATGGAATCGGAATAGAATAGAAATAGAATTGGTGCATTTTTCAACGAATGGAATGAAAAATGAATAACGTCTTTTTCCTAAAATGGAGGCCGTTTTCGTTCATGCATTATTTTTCAAAGATTAGTAAGCCAAAACCTAAGTTAAGGGTAGGCGAGGTGTAAAAGTATGAACAGCATGTAAATTTGAAAAGAGAAAGTGAATCGCTAGTTGATTCATTATCCCGGCAGATATTGAAAGGAAAAACAAAGGGTTGAATGCTCTATGCACAGCCTGATCTTTATCTAACGACCAGTTCAGTACCTAACGCTCGTGAATACATTTTTGACAAGGAAGGCATTGCATTTCTACGCGCAGGCGAACAGAGAAAGTTCTGCTCCCTTCCTTCATGCTTGCGAGGCACGCTGAACATGCGCGAGTGCTGACGAGCAGTGCGACCCACTTTTCATTATTTGAAGCAAAGGAGATGCCTGAGTAGCGCATCGTTCCAACTAATATCAGCAGATGTAGATGGTTTTGTACCTCATACACAAATCTTAGTGTTCCCCATATTAACGACCGCACTAGAAGCATAGTAAAGCTGTGCAGTCTTCTCAAACACTACTTTTTTTAGGAAAAAAAATACGATATGTCATCATTTTAGCATTAGAACATATAGGCTTAAACAATATAAAACATCACCTTTCGTTCAAACATGCTAACCACGCAAATACTGGAGGTAGCGCGAGAACAGCCCCTATGAAAGTTAGTAGGGTGCTTGTACTGCACGAGATATGTTAAGTTACTATGCCTCGACCTTGGTAACGTACTTTGCGCGCTTTTGCAGTTAATTCTTAATACAAACGATGGCATCATCTTTATGGGTCGTTCATTCTTAATCTGATAATATCATCAAGATTTCTCTCTAAAGTTGAGGAATTACCGGGATGGAATTGAACTACCTGGCAATTCCAGGAGTGGGAAAGGGCTAATCTTTTCATTCCGAGGAATCGAAAGGAATAGGATTGTGGAAAGCTCGAATTATCCGGAATTAAATTTGATTGAAAGCACCTATTCCGCAATACTGCTGACAACATACGGTCGAGACAGGCAAGCTATGTGCGTTTCCGTGAGTTATGTACATCACGAAGTAAAATGTTGATACATGTAAGAGGCTAATTTTTTAATTTTGTTAATGATAAAAATCTCTGCACAAAGTACACACTGCCAAAATCAGCATCAGTGAAGTCATAAAGCTGCTGTCACCCATAAAGTAAAGCGCTACAATATTAAAACTTTCTAATATTCATATCAACCATAACAGCAGAATAGGAAAAAAATTCACCTATGTAGCGTTACCAATCCCACGCCACATCAATAAATACTACGAAGATATTTCAAAAATATTTGGGGAGCCCCTAAGCTTTGCCTCTAAGAGTTGAACGCGATAGTGATGTTCCGTCTCTATAGTGCGTACTTCAGCTTGTGTCAGTGAAGCTTTCGCATATGACTGTATTCCGAGTATTCAGTAGCATGCTTTAATGAACACATGTTTTTGAATTTGCTATGCACTCACTACTTGGTCATAAGTGAATACTGGTAGTAACAATCTTAGTTCTGACTCCCTATCACTTGTGCCACACAATTTCACTGCAATATTACACTTTTTATTCTGAAGCCTGTATACCTGATTCGTGTGTTTGTAACTAATGAAAGTTATTTTTTCTGCATTGCCAAGCAATATCATTATCTAAGGTTTAATGTCCCAAAACAGCGACATGAATATGAGAGACGCCGTAGTGACGGGCTCTGGAAATTTCGACCAGCTGGAGTTCCTTAACGTGCAACTAAATCTTAGTACACGGGCCTAAAACATTTCCGCCTCCATCGAACATGCGGCCACCGCAACCGGGATTCGATCCCGCGACATGCGGGTGAGCTGCCGAGTGCTTTAGTCACTATAGACCATCCTGACTAGTAACTTGCGGTAAACTAAAATTAATTTGAAAGCGTAGAATAGTCTCGCTGGTCATGACATGAATAATGACCCAATCCCCTCGTGTACGTCAATAAACTCTTTCCGCAATGCGTGTGGCACATACACGCGGGCGAATATCTGCCACAGGTATGCGGGTATGTGCCACAGTTTATATCTACCCAAGAACGGCGAGAACACACAAGGTCGATTTCAACGCGTGAGCGTTAAGAAAAAAAAGAAGAAGCTGACATTCGCAGTGTGACCCGACGAATGCAAATAATAAATGTCAGGGTTTCAGCAGGAATCGAACCCCAGCGTTCTACGTGGCATTCAAGTATTCCACCACAGAGCCACGCCAGTTCTCTGAACTACTTTTTAAATAGACCCTAATGTTCGTGAAACTTCCATGTTGATTGCAGTGCTGGCTAGTTTTATAAACATTACGTATACAGTGTAAATTTTTATGAAAGGAAACACGCAAGCGCGTCACCCGTGCTTTGTCGGGGCTGCCTACAGAACCGTCAACCGAGAGATAAAGAAAGCGTGACCGATTTTAGCGTCATCTGTTAAAACACGAAACAAGCCATGACCATTGGACAACCGCTACTAAATTATTGCTCCCGCTCTGGTCTCGCAACGAGCGATGCCGCCAAAAACAGACGCGCTTTACTTATCTGTCGGCTGATGCTGCTGTATGCGCAGCCGCTGCAGCGCGCAGGCCACACGCTCGAGCGTTTCTTATCATAAAAATTGATACTGTGCTCCTATGATACAGCCGTCACGTCAGTTTAACTTCGATTGGAGTCAGGTGCGATCAGCTGAAGTTGATTTATGTAGCAGTGTAAGTCACATCAGCTTACCGCTTCTGGTGTTGCTAATATCGATGCTGCTGTTGGCATCCCTATACAATTACTAAACATTAGTCATAAAAAACGTATGCGGCTGCTTAACGCATGTCTGCGCGTGCATTTGTACACATCTTTAGCGCCACTTCGTAGCGTTTCACTCAATAAAAATTACAACACAGTCACCTTCCATTCGCATGCTTCGTGTGACATCAATTCCCAACGTATGTTGGATTCGCAGAGTTTTTATTAGTTATTTCATTTGCATATTTATCAGTTTTTCGGTCATGGACAAAATTTTTAGCTCGCAACCAGTGACGCCGATGCCGAAGCCAGAATTTCTGTTTTTAGCGCTATCACGATGAAAAAAAAAGACAAAAACGCCAGGCCTGGGCGGAACGCGCCGCACAGTCAGAGCGAAAGCTAGAACAGCGGCCTTTCAGAGCCTTTATGGCGAAGCTCCTCTTAGTCTAACCTTGTCCTGCGTCACGCGTAACCGAGAGAAGAATAGACGATAAAGAAGGCAGCATATCCCGAACAGTATATAATAGACGGCGCTGTGTCATAGAATTACATAAAAACTGCAGTTAAGTCAGGATATTCTAGATGGCGCTGTGCCGGTATACTCTCCCATTGGCTGCTGCGCGGGCTGTGCTTGGGTACGCGGAGAACGAATGCCTCTCTAACCCTCGTATTCACAAACGCTCCTTCACTCAATGACTCTCCTCGACTTGAAAAAGTCGATGGGAGCGCCGTCTCATGGCAGAACAAATCACTGCATATCGGCAGTATTCTGCAGTGATTCTTCAGAAGCGCAGCGTCAATTTCAGTCGAGCAATGGCGCATTGCTCAACTGAGTCAAGTGAAGGATGGAATTGAGTCGAGGAGCCTTTCTGAATACGGGGGTAAGTCTCCTGGGTAGCCACCGTGCGTGGCGGATCGTTGGTGACACATGGACGAAGCAGAGCTGCGGGCGTGTTGAAGACGCTTGCGCTCGGATTCCTTGGCTCGCGTCCAGATGGTGTTACCCGCGCGCCATCTGCATTCTCTAACGTTATCCGACACTTGGACGCATGCACGGACGGACGGACACACGTACGGATGGATGGGCGGGTGCTTCGCCCCACTGATCATCATTCACTCCGTGGATATATTGCAATTTTTTCTAAGCACTCTTTGGGTAACTGCTACAAGCACACTTGCTGGGTACCCACTTCACTATAAAGAATCACAATTTTTGTGTAGTAGGCCTGCACTCACAATGCTATTCTTCGTCATTCTTCGAAGAAGCGTGGTATCTGCTACACACTTGCTAAGAATTTTGTGCAATTTTTTTGTGCAGTGGCTGACGATGAAGCATTATACCTAAAGTGGGTATGCGCCACAGTTAACAGGTGATCAAGAACAAGTTTTTAATTGGTTGAAACATTGGACAACCCACTCGTTACGCAATTCGCGTTCTGTGATGCACGGTTGTTCATTTGATGTTCTAAAAAGCTTTATTACTCATACTAACGCAATTCCCTTCCCGACATCAAGCCTGCCTCAAGCCAGTTTAGAAGCGATTTCCAAGCACCGGCATGGCTCAGTAGTAGAATACTGCACGGGCACGCTGCGTGCACGGGTTCGAATGCTATCGTGTCCTTAATTTTTTTTTTAATTCACCGAGTGTTTTTTTTATTTCTTGCGGTACTGCAGATGCACGCTGTAGGGTTGTAACGGAGCTGTTTGCAATACCATTTCTGACTCGGAGGAATGCGGCCTAGAGCTACTTAGCGAAGTCATCAGTACTTGAGACGGTAGGCCCGAGTTTTCTACCGAAACGGCACAAACGCAGAAGTGGGTCACCCGAATATTACTCGTGAATCGAATGGGCAAACAACGCCCATGTCGCCTATGCCAAAAGAGAAGAAAACAACAGCAGCCAGCAAAGCCGTAGGCGAACAGAGCCTCGTCATGTAAGCGCCAATTATTTGGTTGGTTTTATGCATGACTATATACTCTCGATATATGACGGTATAGACTTGGAACTCGTTTTCTTGCTCTTGAGCAGAGTTGTTCAACCGCAGATGCCATTTGTGCACAGCTAATGTAAAACGCGAAAGGGGCTGGCACAGTACAACGGTAGGCCATCTACTTCACTGGCGCTCCACGCACGTCGCACTGCGGTGTATACATTAGCCACTGCGGTGTATACATTGACGTTTTTGTACATCGCGCTTCAGTGATCGCTTGAGAAAGGGCCACGGGTCCAGACGATCTACATGTTTGAAGAGGTGTGTACAGAACAGCGTCACGTAATGGACGGCTAACGGTCTTACTCTTACAGACAGGCACCGCCGTGTGGTTCCAGTGCTCCCCGAGGCAGCGCCTGGCGAGCTGGGCGGGGTTCTCGGCGACCGGCTGGTAATCCTGGTCGCAGACGAACGCGCACTCGGCGCCCGGCGCCACTAGCGGTCCACCGTCCGAGCAGCTCCAGCGGCCGCCTGGAGTCGTAGCCGGAAGTGCGCATCCCTGGGGAGCTGGCTCCTCTGCAAAGACGCCTCATTAAGTGATGCGCTTACCTCTTGCTTTATAGGCCTTTTTAGGTCTTGCTTTTTACACCAAATCGCCTGCGTGGTGAGCAGCTCAACTGGCACCTCGCTTTGAGCTTGTGTTATCACTTAACAGAACGTGAGCTTCAGCGTGTTGGTGTTGCATCTTAGCATAAGTACAAGGTCAGATTTTTAAGATCGAAGCCACGTGTGAATTATGTGCAGCCAAGGATAGCATGAATGGATGGAAAAGAAATGTTGACATGAATACCATGTCATGTTGAAGAGCACATTTCAATTCACTAGTCCTCTCCACGAGGTAAAGTACGCGTGGGAGGTGAAGGCGCGCGCCGCCGCGCACTCGCTGCGCCGTCTTGCTGTTAATTCTAAAAACACAATAGTTCCCCTCCGAGATGCCCATCGCCCGCGGTAAATGGTAGATATAAATAGCTTCCCGTTTGCACGTACAAGGATGTGCTTTCTGGTGGCTTAATGGTTAACGCCTCGCACTCACGACTATCTTGTTTTCAGCATTACCAGCAAGACGGCGCAATGAACGCACGGTGGCGCGTGATCTTTTCTCCTGCGTGTACTTTGCCTCGCAGAGAGCAGAAGGTGGACGCTCGCTCGCGCGCCTTCATCTAGCAGTGGAGAGGATCGTACGTCTTGGCTAGTTTGTGGCTTTCACTGAAACGATTCTGTTGTAGTTACCGGGCATACAAAAGTCACTGCGATCATTGCATAGTCTCCGTTTGCGGAAAGAGCGCACTTTTATGACACATAAGTAACAACTGAGACGCTTATTAAAGTTCGTCTGTACCTGTCAGAACGTTTCAGGCGTCATTTGTGCGTGAAAAACACGGGGCACCTTTCGATCTGCTTGCTGTTCTGCGCGCGACTTTCCCATTTGTTGCTATCACGTTCATTGCTTTGCCTTGGCCAGTTGACCAGGTTGTATGACATATATTGCGATGAGAGGCATGGCCACTTTTTTTTCTGTTATCTTTAACAAAGTTGTGGTCATTTCCCACGAATATGCAATAACATGCCATTAAACGACGCTCGCTGAACCGCATGCGGCACGTCACTTGCATGCGGTTGCCAATTTACACTCCCGAAAAACGAATTGCGGAGCAGTTCACGGTAGAAGACAGCACGAAATCTCGGTTATATTTAGCCTTCCCCGAAAACTAGACGTGGGTAATTAGGCCCAACCTGTTGTCTGGGGCAGCTCCGGTGGTGTCGCACAGTCCAGGACTTTCCTTCCTTGCCATACACCCGCGACGCAGGAGAAGTGTGTCACGACGTTCAGAGGGGCCCATCGGCACCCTTGGCGACAGCGGGTGCCTTCCCGGGCCACGACCCGGGCCTTGCGCGTAGCGCCGCGATCGCACCACACCCATCCGTGCGGCGGCGCCTTGGGCCATCGACAGGCAAGCTGCTTCCGGCGCTTCGGCGGCCGTGGGGTACGGGTGGACTGCGGCGTGGACGACGAGAACGTGCAGACGTCAAAATGGCTCCCCGAAGAAATCCACAAAGCAACTAATGCACAGAAGGCAGACATGCGGTACACGCCCAGTTGAGATGAACGACTTCATTGGCATGAGTCCACTCTTGAGGAGAAGCCTTTTAAAATAATATATTGGTTTTTTTCTTATCTTTGTGCTTGCTGTCAAGATTCTCACGTGGCGGCGATTGCTCAGTTCTTCTGGTTCACTTTTCGTTTCTTTTTTATGTTTCTTTATTCAACTTGTAAGTTGCGAGAAGGTATTGTTTCTACTTTGTGCCTTATAGTTTGCGCGACCTTGATGATGATGTTTGATGTTTAGTGGCGCAAGGGCCATTTCACGGCCAAAGAGCGCCAGTTCATCTTACTAAAAATATGGACAATTATTGTGATAAGCGGCTGTATAAGGGCCATAAAATTTCTCGCGGTAAGGCGGGTAAGAACATACAAGTAATAAAATCATGACCATGCCGTGAAGGTGTGTGTGGTGTGAATAGATGACAGAAGTTGATGATAATAAAAGACGATGATGGATATGTATGGCATTAGCACAAGTGCCTCACTCGTTCATACCCTTGCGTCCAAGGGCCGTGAGGCAAGTGCTTTCTTGTGTAGCCACAGTTTGCGCGACTTTAAGTAATATAGAACAATACCAATTAGCCCAGCTGTTGTACTAATCGCTCCACAAAACTTGAAACTCCCAGACATGGTCCATTTTCTCTTACCACTAAGGAAGTCGAAAATCCCAGAAAAAGGCGCAATTCATTCTTTATAACATCACTGCGCCCGTACCAGCGTCGAGCGTCTGCATGCACCTCATTCGTCATCAACAACAAAACGAGCAACAGGAAAGGACGAAGGTGAACCCCTGTTTCAGGAAACTGCCCTGTTCAAGATTAAGAATGAAACAAGCCCAGAGATTGTTGAGGCGTATCACGCACACATATCTCTTGAGCAGAATGTCTATCACATCGCATCGAAAAGAAATAGAATTTCTGAATGGCTTGTTCCCTCTTTTCTCTTGCTCATCCGGCACGCAGCATGTGACCTAAATGTATTTGCTTGCGCGCGCAATAAGTCCAAGTCTGTTCTTCATTTGTACGAAACTAAACGTTTACTCGTAACTTGCCAACTCACCCAGCTTGTCACGGTAATAAAAGCGAATAGAAAGCGCTGCGAGGATGTCGAATGGGAAAAGAGGCACCGCTGAAAAAAAACTGATCACCGCCACCGAGATGTCACCAGATAGTATTGGATTGTATATGCGAGACGCGAGTTGTGTAGTACTGTCTGGAAGCCACACGAATTGTCTCGAACCTTCGACCATTCGCAAAAATTTTGGGAATACGGGCTATAATAAGAAAATTATGGGGGTTAGAAGATTCGTTTCGGGTGGTTTCAAATTTTCGCGCGGCCACTCGCCACGCTTCTCCGCCGTCGTCGTTACTCCGCTCACTTCGGCAACGTGACACGACGACTGTGACACGTCATCAGCGCGCAACTAACGACCGAGCTTTCGTCAGACTGCGCGTACGAGAGGTATTGGTCAGACGGGGAAAACAGGCGCGGGATAGTTTTTTCAAATGGAAAGTCTGCGCAGCGCCGAGCGTTGTGCATTTCGACAAATGTGATCTGTAGGAATTGGAGATCTTGTTTAGGGGTGTAAAAAAATTCGGAGCCTGTTTACTGGCACATTAACGTCCCAGAACCACGATAGGATTATTAGGGGGTGGAGGGCTCCGGAAATTTGTACCGCCTGGGGATCGAACCCCAGTTGCCGCAGCCGGGATCCTATCCCGCGACCTTGTGGTTGTGGACTGACGTAGCCCTCCGTGGAGTTCGCTCAAATGAGAGAAAAGCTCATCGCCACCGAGGGCCCCGAGAAATGAAATCATGCGAGCAGCTGTGGTGAAATTGTGCATTAGATAGTGTTGCACAGACCGAATTTTTTTTTGCGTGTGTGTCTTTCAGTGGACCTAAAATGCATGTGCAAGTCGCCTTCAATGTATATCTTCTAGCTGTTACTATTTCAGAAGCGCTGAAAGGTGGGAGAGTGAAGTAATTTTTCACGCTGAATTTCCTTCTAATGCCTGCTTTAGCGCTGTGGCATAATATTCTTCTATATACATGTGCACAAATGTCTCGGTTAACACAGACAGCTTACTTATACTCTATGGCAGAATGGAAGCTATCAGTAGTTATCGCTTCTCATGGTCTCCTATATTGAACTGAATAAGCACACTGCTATACCCTGCTTCTGCAACCTATCTACAACAATCGTATTCATATTCACCAGTATACAATCATGTCCAGTCTAGATTTCACTCTCCAGTGGCTGGCGAAGGCTTCCCCAGTGATATCCATGGTACCGTTTTCACGAGCCGATCCCATTTTATTCCAGCGGACGTCTTAGGTTCATCGCTCCATCGAACACGCTGCCGAACTCCGCTTTATTGGCCAGCTGTTCAACTATTCTGTTCTAACTGACCACCAGCTGTCTCTCGTATGCATTAGGTGGCCGGCCCAGGCCCGTTTGTTTCGCTTAGTCTCAAATAGAACATCAGCTACCGCTGTTCACTTTTTGAACCATTCCATCGACTTCCAAACTTTTAATTTTACGCCTAACATGTTCTGTTCCGAATTTTTTCTCGTTCTTTTCTAACACGGAAGTGTTCTATGCCTGGGTCCACCATAGCTCAGCTGACGTACTTCCATCACGGATATGATGTAAAATGTACACTAACATATTGCAAAAAAAAAAAGAAACTAGACGGAAAAGTTCCGCAGCGGGGTGTCGAACCAGTGATTTCGCGCTCTCCAGCGCGAGACGCTAACCACTATGCGGCAGAGCGAGCCTTCTTACTGTTAACGGCAAGCCATTTATATACACCATATACATTGGCGGTCTTCAGAGCTCAGCAGTTTTAGCGCGTTTTCGTCATCAGTAGCGAGATGGCACGAGGAGCGAGTGTTGGCCGCGCGCGCGCTGTAAAGGTCGTCGTGCCGCGCCACCCCGCGCGTCATACAGGCGCGCACCTCCGTATGGCGTGGTCAAAGTGCGTGGTAAGTCCTAATTAGGTTCTGTAGCGTGGTGGCTCATTCGCGCACGCGCTAATCTCGGGATTCGGACGCTTTGTAACTCGTGTGCTTCCACCGCAAGCTTGCTTTGAAGTTACAAAGGTTAAAGAAAAAAACACAAACGTCCCTTCGCTCGCTGCTGGGGCGGCGTTTACGAAAGGAGCGCGCTGGTCGCACACATTGACATTCACATGCGGAGTTTGATTTCCCATAACCACCATATGATTACGAGAGACGCCGTAGTGGAGAGCTCTGGCAATTTTTACCACCTGCAGTTCTTAAACGTGCACCCAAATCTGAGCATACGGGCCTATACAGCACTTTTGTCTCCATAGAAAATGCAGCCGCCGCAGCCGCGTGCACTGCTCGCGCACGAAGTAGGAATTGTCACAGTTGTTCGCGCTCATGCCTAAGGGTTAATTTCGTGCGTCTTTTTTTCTGTTTAAGCAGCGTTATCAAAGTGTCGAGCTGTGACAGTTGTTTGTACGCGCTCGCCTTTTGTATGATAATTTACCGCATGCTTTCTGCTTGAGGTGCGCTGCAAGTTTAGAGCTGCTTGCCAGTCGCGCGACATTGCAATTTGTTGCTGCAGCATTCATTCCTTCGCCCTTGTGACGAAACGATACAAAATTAACGCTCAACTACCTCTGCGAGGAAACGTTTCACTTCAGTGTGTTACCGCAAGTCCTAAAAAAAAGATAAGCTGTGTATTTTTGTACTTTTTTGACGTTCTGCCCTATATGTTAGGGAATTAAGCAATGATCGCATGCTTTTCGTCTTATGAACAGTGGCAGATTGCCATGATTTGAGAATGACGGCCCTATGCACTCTATAGTATCCTTATTCGTTGGGGATAGACCCACAGATGTGACATAAGATATATCTTGCTTAAGCGTTGACACGCATCAGGAGGTATACATTCCTCAATCTTAAAGAAAGTGTGATAGCATAGTATCTAACCATATCACGCTACCAGTTTGATTTATATGTGGGGTGTAACGTCCCAAAACCACCTTATGATTATGAGAGACACCGTATTAGAGGGCTCTGGAAATTCGGACCACCTGGAGTTCTTTAACGTGCACCCAAATCAGACCACACAGGCCTACAGCATCACGCTACCAGTTTGAGCATCCAGGAATAGAAATATGAACACTAACTTTTTTGCTCTGCTTTATCATTTTTGCTCTAGTGTAAATTATACCTGTGACAACTTTCTTTGGTGGCTGTATGAAGCAGACAGCGTCGTAAACATGGAAAATTTCAAAAATCTAAGCGGTGTGAATGACTAACTGCGGCCCGTGATTGAATAGTGATTCTCGACGGCAGCACATTCTGCGAAGCGTCTAAGGGACTTAGCAGCCATGTTTAGACTATGAAGCAAAAGACCAGGTACATTATTCACTGAACAATCTACTATATTACAGTATGGAAGAACGTATAGAATAAACAAACGCTAGTGAATAGTAACACAAAACTTACGGGAAACCTTTTAATCGAAGTCGTCGTGGGCACGCTAGGCTCGGTTGTGGGCCGAGTCAACACGACTGTAGATGGAACGACGGCGTTTGTGACAGCGTTTGGTGATGAAGCATTCTTATCTGAAAATTTGAGGAAAAATATGAAATTAAGTAGAATATATTCTACTGTTTCTACTTCTGATAGCATTTTATGTAGCCTGAACGAAGAATCCAAGAAGATAGCACAATATATTGCTTGAGCTTTACGCCTTAAAACCTGTGGGAACCGCGCTCATCAAGACAGTGTCACGTGTTGCGCAGTGGCAGTACGCATGGCCACTTGCACAGTTTAAAAGGGGCAGCCTGCGCAATGCCCATGGGCGAGGAGGTTGGCCGCCTGGAAGCGCGGACGCTGCCACCCGCGCTGGCCAATGGCTGCTTCCCGAGACAATGGTCGCCGCCTCACTGCCCCGAATACCTGGACCCACCCAGACGCATGAGTCGTATAGCTTTAAATAAATCATCGTTTGTTGATACTTGAAGCCTCCACCGTCCTGGCTTAACTATACGGACGGGATGCAGAAAGCCCATCAACCATGAAACAATTACGAGGATTGCCAAAGTGCGCGACTCCTAATTATTTTTTTCCCTGCTGGGCTAGGCGCATAAAAGCTTTATCTGCAATAATGTACCAAAACTAACACACAAATTTAGTAATGTTATGTCTAACAAAGAAAAACAGCCCTTAAATTTCCACTCGTTTCCTTCATTTATTGTGTACGAATGCGACTCGTGCCATGAGAGACCCCTTAGGTCCGTATCCACAAACGACCCTCGACTTGAAACCCGACCTCAAGGGATCCTTGAGACTGTTCACGTTGCAGAAATCGCAATACGAAACACTCCTGAAGGATTCCTTCTAGTCAAGTTTCGAGTCGAGGAGCGTGTGTGAATACGGGCTTTAGTGAAGGTTTTCTGATGATTCCGACCACCTGGAGGTCTTCAACGTAGACTGACATCACACACTACACGGGCCTCGCATTTCGCCGCCACCGACGTGCGACCGCCGTGGTCATGCACCGATATACAAGTATGCAGGTGTCCTTGCATTTCGTCACGATTGGAGTGCAGCCGCCGTGGCCAGGAACGAAATTCGTGACCCCAAGCGGTACTGATGGTAGGTTGGCCCCAAGCGGTACTCATGGTAGCTTGGTAGCTTACTCACGGTAGCTTGGCCTTACGGGCCTTACGGGCCAAGCTACCATGAGTAAGGGAATCAAGCTTTATTGTCAACGATGGTCACAAAATTTATTTCGTGACTTACGTGACCAGTTATCGCTATATTCTAGCACACGATTATTGTGAAAACAAGCTTAGGAGCCAGGGTGCAGCTTACAAGTCCACAGTTATGTGCGCGTAAACAGCAGCAGCGCAAGTACTGTGAATATGATTATCAATAAAAATATCTTGCTCCACAAAAACTACCATAAAAACTACATACGATGCATGAAGTATTGAGATAACAGAATACAGTACGTAGAATACATTACAAGCACAACAGAATAGTTAAGATTAGTTAAGATAGTTAAGAATAGTTAGGTTAAGAATAAGTTAAGAAAGTAGTTCAAAATAGTTAAGATACGAAAGTCCTGTGCTATAAGCGATGAATAAGACAATGGTAAATATAAAGTGCTTCAACAAATTTACCCTGCAATCCGTAAATGTTGATTAAAAAATTAGATGAACCCAGTACTCTCAAACATAGTTCCATTCGTGCGAACGAAGCAAGTGAGCGAGTAGCGGCGCGATTTGTCGCGTTTGAATCAGGTCATGATCTTCGGCCCCAGTAAATCCTGCGTGAGCGTGCTACGCGGCAGAATTTAGGGGGATTCTCCAATGTATTCACCATTGTTAACCACACCTCCGTTAATTTGCAATCTACATTTAAAGTTTGAAAGATACTTCTAGCGTCAGCGCGAACGCTGTAAAAGTGTTAATGATCATATTTAAAGCAAGCTTCTGCTAATAGGTGAGAATTTAATTGATCGTACCCTTTTCTTTCTCTCGTTACGCTCTATCGCTATTGCGTTGACGCATCTGCACACAATGCTTGCAGGTATTGTTGTGCGATATTGCTAGTCAGTGCTCTTCATGTTTCCTTGTATTGGCCTACCGTATTATCATTTCCAACTTATTTTAAATATGCCCTGATTTGATTGATATGTGGGGTTTAACGTCCCAAAACCACCATATCATTATGAGAGACAACGTAGTGGAGGGCTCCGGAAATTTTGACCACCTGGGGTTCTTTAACGTGCACCCAAATCTGAGCACACGGGCCTACAGCATTTAAAGATGCCCTCTGCAGAATGAAGGCGCGTCCCAATGACCACCACTTTGTGTGCCATATTACGCCTATTTTTTGTCACTCTTTTCAACCCTCTGCCATCCCTGGCTATAGTTCCCCCATTCTGCTGCTCTGACTGACCAACGGTTATCTGTCCTTCGCATTACGTGACTTTCCCAGCTCCACTTTTTAATGCCATGGCGGCAATCCTTCGCGTTCTTCAATTCATTGTTTTCTGTTCCCATCTCGTAATGCTATGCCTATCGTTTTTATTTCCATTCCATCGCACTCTGCGTGGTTTTCCACTTGTTGAGTTTGTCCTTGAGTCCATTTAACATTTTTATACAATCGCGTGCCACAACACATGACGCTCCCCCCCCCCTTCCTGCTAGCCAAATGAGCATATAGCTTGCTGTTAAATGACGTTGCTACGCTATAATAATGTCCCGGATAAGTCAGCTCACTTGAATTAGTGACATCATTTTTGTGGAGAACGAAGAAACAAAACAAACGCACGCAACGAATTGAAACAATAAAATCCGTGGCTATGACGAAGCTTTCGCAGTGAACGGTGCATGCTTCCAAATCTAAAGCTCATGACCACGGTGCATGGGCATAGAAAACTGCCTAGACAGCCAACAAAATTACGCAATCCTCACCTCTGCAAATGGGTGCCGGGTGAGGAGTCCATGTGACTTGGACGCCGTCATGAATGGCACAGCGAGTAGCCACCCGCTGTTCGAGTTTGTAGCCCTTTTTGCAGAAGAAACGACACCGGCTGCCCCAGTGTCGGCCACGGCTGCAGCGCACACCTCCGTGCTGCGGTCGCCGTAGTGCTGGACAGCGACGCACTGCGAACAACAATGAAAAAAATACAATCATAAACGCAGAAGACTGACTGGCCGCAGAGCTGCTTAACTTTTATAAAGCTTGCAACAGCAGCGGCCTCGTCAGAAACATGTTGTGGACTAATTTAGCTGGCGAACATATCAAAAACACGGCCGAATAAGCATCTGTAAGTATGCTTTTTTGATATCCGCGATGAGGACCACCGGGTTTCATCGAAAGATGACCAGCAGTTGCACAATATCTACTCCCAGACTCGTACCCTTGAACAAGACATCATTCAGGCAGGTATGGCCAGGCTCTTGCGAGGCAGCGTCAAACACCACCCGAAGTTTTGTCGTAACCGCCTCTCTTCGTATGACGGCATGATGAGGCATATAATACACATTTTCTCTTGGTAGTGGCTCTCCTTCAACTCGCTCTGCGTGCTCCTCGTTAAAGTATGCCTTGATGATCCTGTCATACTGCTTCAGGAATTCGGGCTGTGGTTTAGATAGATTTGTGGGGTTTAACGTCCCAAAACCACCTTATGATTATGAGAGACGTCGTAGTGGAGGGCTCCGGAAATTTCGACCACCTGGGGTTCTTTAACGTGCACCCAAATCTGAGTACATGGTCTTACAACATTTCCGCCTCCATCGGAAATGCAGCCGCCACAGCAGCCGGGATTTGAACCCGCGACTTGCGGGTCAGCAGCCGAGTACCTTAGCCACTAGACCACCGTGGCGGGGCTCGGGCTGTGGTTTGAACCTATTTAATTGTGCTTGCAGCCAGCGCTCCGCCATCCATCGATTGTCACCGCCGGCAGGTATTCCTGGATCTTTTAACATCAGTGGCACCTGGTAGCGCCCGTTTAGCTTGATAATTCCCTATTCAAATGCCTCAAGTTCTGGTGGATGCTTGCTCTTTTCCTCAGCAGGCGCCTTGATCCCCATGACGTCGAGACGCCACATCGCAGAAAGATCACCGTCTGGAACAAACTTCGTGCTACAGTGCAGAATTGGAGCGCTCGTGGATGCTGAAATTCTCTCGCGTTCCATGGTACCCTGAACGGTCCAGCCAAACTTGATTTCGACGGCCGTTAGGTTGCTGGTTAAATGATCAACCCTTCCAGTCGCGACCTTCCAGTAAGCGTCGGAACCAAGTAAGACGCTTACTTTCTCTGGGTGCCAGGAGTCGGGATGAAAGATGTTTGCAGCATCAATAGTTCTTGTCACACAAAAGCTGAAAAACATCAGAACTGAGCGGCGGGCTTGTGACTGCACACACTTCGGGTACCTCCAAGGCCTCCACGGTTATGGCTATGTCCCTACGTTGGCCTCATAGCGTCAAAGCTACCCGTCGACAGCGTTTTACTTCGCGGGGCTTCGAGTAGCCGAACGTAACAAAGGAAAGTTCTTCGGTTCCGATAACCGAGCACCTGAGATCCTTTGAAACATCTGCTCGGATAAATGTGCGCTGACTGCCGCTGTCAAGAAGAATGCGCACGAGACGCTTTCGGGACCCACACTCGATCCAGACTCGTCCTGTTTGAAGAAGAACAGCGTTGATTCCGCTAAGGACGCTTGGAGCTGATGTTACTGAAGGCGTGCTAGTGCCTCGCCTGGCGATGCGCGGGTCGTCCTGGTTCACTGTCGTCGCGTTTGTACAGCTTGGGGCTGCCTGTGTGAACAATTCACAGAGGATAGTGAGGTGTCGTTGGTTGCACTTACTACAGGTGATGCTGCGTGCACGTCGACAAAAACGTGCCTTGTGGTTTTGCAAGCCGCAATGGTACCAGCATTGAGCCGTGCGCAACCGAGCCCGTTTTTCCTCAGCCGAGAGTTGAACAATGCAGTCCGCGATGGTGCGCTGACAACTGCTGCGTAAAGGGCAAACCTCATCCGTAACTGTAACATATTCGGCAGCAAGTGCGGACGCCGTAGGCAAATGTCCCATCGGTGCCGACGGAGGTTCGACCTCTTCAGGTCGCGACCGTGAGAAACCAGACGCCGTTTGTTCTGGCCTGCTTTCCTCCCGAACCCCAATCTAATGCACAAAAAAATTGAGCAATTCAGCAGCCTGGTGAGCTTTCTGTTGAGGTTTCATGATGCCGGACGTTTCCTGCGGCGCTTCCTGCACCTTCTGGCGGTAGAGAATCGCAAGATCGACCGGCAGACACTTCATCAATACGTGGTTGAGGACCACGTTGTACTGGTCAGGTGGGACGCCCAACCTGATCAACGCGGCGACTCGGAAGTTGACCTTGTCGTAGAGCAGGCGAAGCTTCTCCACGTCTGCCGACGACTTGACCAGCGCTAAGGCAAGCAGGTGGTCAACGTGCTCGTTGACAAGCAAGTCGCGTCGACCAAATAGTTCTGTCAAGATCTTGATCGCGATGTTGTAATTATCCTCGGTTAGTCGGATGTCCTCGTTTGCTCTCTTTGCTGCACCGCTCAAATACGACTGAAGGTACTTGAACTTCTCGATCTGTAAAGGGTCTTCATTCATGTGAATCGTGGCACCAAAATGGTCCCAGAAGGACTGCCAATCGCGAAGTGCGCCGGAAAACGTGGGGATCTGTAGTTTGGGCAGGACCACCGTGCGATGACGCGGCATCGTTCCTTGACTGGGTATCGTATCGGCTACTCGAGAAGAGTCACTGACCTGACTCTTGGCTGTGGTGCTGGCACCACCGGCGTCGGCGTTGGGTGATCTAGCCATTGACCTCACAGCATTCGTTACTGTCGCCTTGTTTGCGGCCTCGCGGAGGAAGAAACGCCCTCTGGACGCGGCGTAAGAGACGCTTCGGTCGTACTCTTCCGCTACCTCGAGCTCTTCCTCGTAGTCATTGTCGTCAGTCGCATTGAAGATTTCTTTGTTTAAGGTGACGAATTCAGCGTTCTTCTTAGTGAGGTAGGCAACGTGGGAGTCGACCTGACTGGCATCGGGAATGGAGGCTTGCAGCTCGTCGGTCAGGAGCGTGATAGTTCGTGTGACGCTGTCCCTGACGACGCCACGATTCTTGCGCAGCCGCTCCAACGACGCCATCGGAAGTAGAAGTCTTGGAAGGGCGTTACCGGGGGGTTTTCGGCATCAAAAAGATGTCGCGTGCTGAAGACCCGAGCCCTACACCAAGAACGTCCTTTTATTCCGACAGCTCATGCCTAACTTCCTCTTCCGTTCTCCTGCTCGTTGTCGCGCGGCCGCAATCATCCGCAACAGGCCTCTCACCAGTTCACATAAAAAATTGTGATTGCACAATGAAATTTCTTGCGTGCCCAATAAACAGCGTTGTACCAGAAGAATTTTTTACATTGCTTCATTGTATACGAGCCACGAAACCATAATGCGATGAGGCAAGCTTGAAACCCTTGCCATTCACGCTGTGTAGCCAAGCGCCATTCCTTCCATCCCCTCTTCGGTGTCGAAGCAAGAGGATCACATGATGAATACGCATCAACACGTCGCGCGCATGCGAGGTCCCATGACATGTTGGCATGTCCGCGCATGACATGTCCGAGGCTGCTTGTGCACATACGTCATTAATGTGTTGTCGTTTTGACGTTCTCGGTAATGTATTGCCTGTTTTAGTTGCGAAGCAGTCCCCCGATGGCACGTTCACGTTGCTCTTCTGGAACTCGTTGCTCGACTCGTCGCACTAAAGCGAGAAGCTCGGCTTTTTTAGATGCGAAGCAGCTTATGGTGGAGTTCAATCCGGTGCTGTGCAGCGTGACCACACGTACTGCACATGCGCAACAGCTGGCCCGAGCAACGCCAAAGCGCGCTCACGCTCCCGCCTATGTAAGGGGCTGAGTAAGCCGCTGTGGCGACTCCACCTGACACTTTCTCACCAATGAAGCAATGGCGTCGGGAAACGAGATTCTGCAGACGCGCGCTGAGCCAACGCGCTATATCCTAGTCAGAACGCGCTGACACGCGCTAGCGCGTTCGGAGTTGCGTAAGTGGCCGTGTAAAAGAATGCGACTTTTTTCTCTTACACTCTCTCAGCAATCACGTCATGGCGTCAGGGAACGAGATTCTGCAGACACGCGATGAACGCACGCGTTGTATTCTAGTCAGAACGCGCTTACACGCGCTAGCGCGTTCGTGACCGCGTAAGTGACTGTGTAGAAGGTTGTGGCTTCTCTCTTTTACACTTTCTCAGCAATCACGTGATGGCATCAGGAAACAAGGATCTGCAGACGTGCGATGAACCCAGGTGCTCCCGCGTGGCGAACTCCAACAAGAGTTCGGGACGAGTAACAGCAACATAAACTAGAGTGAATTCATGGTGTGCTCCCCTTGCAAGGATGGGATAGCATTGGGCAGGGGGCCCGTAGTGAACAGAACTTTATGTCTACCCATGCGCTACTTCGCACGCTATTCATGGTTCCGCTTAGTGGGAGATGGTGTAACATTTGAAGGACAGAGCCGCCAGGTTGAATATCTTTGGAAAGACTGGCACAGATCATGTGTCTTTACCGCGATATGCCGCGTCGCACCAGAGGTAGCTGTCAGAGACAACGCACCAGAACATGCCAAGCGTTGTCATGGCTGGCGCCGGCACGACATGGAACGGGGAGAAGACGAACGCATGTGAAACGCCGGCCGATTAGTGTATAGCGCATTGTGGCAATTCCGAAAAAAATAAAAATATCAATAAAACAGCCACATTCCGTTTTACTCACATATATACCCTGAAATAGTTCTCGCAATGCCGCGTGCTACACTCTCAATCAGGTCCCGTTTAAAGTGTTACGACACGGGACATTTTTCGTCCGGTTTCTGGATATAGCCAGCATTTAACCAGGACCCAATTAAGAGTCTGCGGTGAGCGACGACAGAGCCCCAATGTATATATAAAGCAGCGATATAAGAGCAGGATTATTATTTGTTGTACGTCACCCCTTCCACCTTGGGGTGCGACCCCATGCAAAAAAAAGAAGGAAAGCGACGTTCGTTTTGAAATTTCACGTCTTTCTGCAACGTCTAACGTTGCAAATACTGCCATACATTATCGTGAGCACCCAGTGCATGCACCACACTTGCGAGTTTCAAGCATAGTTAGAATAAAGCTAGTTCACGATAGGAGAGAAATAGGCACTACGCGATTACAACCGGCTAGCACGAGACATCTCTCACTTCTGATCTTTTAGCAGTATGCCCATCTGCTCCTGTGCTGACCTTCTCAACCACAACGAAAAGAAAAAAAAAGACTAAGGAGTGAATAGGGTTGATTCGATGGTGAACAGTTGACTAGCCATGCAAAAGGAAAGGCTGTGATCTGCAAACCGTGCACGAAATTGACGGCTACGTTGAATCATTGGCGCCTTTGTGCTGTCATAAACAACATTTTTTTTTGCTTCTTGTCGTAGATATTTGTCACGCACGTCTTTGTTTGAAATTCTTTTATGTAAAAATGATTGCGCCTATATGATTTAGGAAGCCTCAAACGGCGTTTTACTTGTCTGTTTTCAGCGCCTAAAGTGCGCTTTCAAGTTAGTGCCAAGAAATAGAGCCAGAGTTATCACATAGTGTCATAGTTACCAGCTGCAGGCGCACTTAAGCGACGAACATGCCCCCATGTCTTCTGCTACATCTAGTGCTAGCCTAAAATTTCCCAAATAATGCTTTTTTCTTCTTTACAGCATCTTTACAAATCATAGTCGGCCAGATGATGCACAGCGCACGTATAACAATAGTGGTAAAAGATCATTACATAGATATTACATGAATAAAAGCCAAATGCGCATATTTTTCGCCCTCGTCGCTTCTAGTTGTTGAAGCACAGTTAACCGATTTTTACCCCGAAACTGCGAAATGTGGGGTCGTAAAACTTTGTGTTACAACCACACGCACTAAACAGGTTATTGCTATCTTAACGTGCCACTTAAATGCATGTGTTTGTATACATTTTGACATAGCTTCACAACACTTGTTCCCTTCGGCTATTGGCACGCAAACGAAAGGAAAAAGGAAGTTATCGATTGCCACCGACCATCATTTTCGAGTCTTAATTATGCATTATAAACTGCCCATTTATTAACTGCAAATTTTCCACGTGCCAAAAAAAAGGTGGGGGTTGATAATGCAAACAAGGTATCTGCCAAATTCTTACGGACTGTTGCTATGCTGATCACATTCGATTACTTGTGCCAGTCACGAAGCACTGTGGTCTTACGCACAGGATGCCAATGAAGTTACCACCACACCCGTGCAATGCCTGTTTGAAGATACAACTATACGCGCTTCATTCACTATGCTTTTGAGCCATCGCTTATCGTCACGTATGATAACTTCGCTGCCAAAGGGCCATGGCTCGTGCCAAATGAGGCGCCATGAGCGAGGATAGCTTGAGTGTTAACGGCTCATCACCTATTGCGCAAGCTACCACACAAAAGGATCTGCCAGAATAGCTACGCCACGCTGCGTTTACCATAAACAAGTCAGCCCCTTCACGACGGCCACAAGCAGGACATGATGGTATGATATGAAACAAATAAAACCAGCGTTTGCTCAACTGACTTCACAAACGAATCCACGGAACTCACGAGAGCTCACCTTTGACCCTTAGCTTGTAGTGACAGCTCTGCGGGGCCATGCCTGGCGCCTGGAGTGTAAAGCTCATCTGGTAGACACCCTCCATCACAAGTGAGCCCGGCTGCGGCCCTACGGTGGCTGTAATGTGCACGTCCCCTGGAAGAGACATACGCCTAGAGAATGGAGCTCAGCGCTGCTGCGCCCTCAACCTGACCCACCTGGAGCATGGACGCAGCCGAGGCTTGGGCACCTCGGCGCACGTGAAGCCGGGCCCCACCCACACGGTGCGGTCCTTCGGGCAGCGGAAGCACGGCCGCAGTTGGGAAGGTGTCACGGCGTTGGCCGGTTCCACAGCGATTAGCACTGCACGCACACAAAGCCTGTCTGAAGGTTTCGCGACGGCAAAAGCCTTTACTGTATGACAGCTGAGTTCGGGCACATGTACATTTTAACGTCAGTGAGTCTGATTGAAGTTGCTGCGAACTGATTTAGGATTCTTATACGGCGTATCTGCAGCTTCGAAGCTCTTAACTTTGAAGGTGATGGTTGTTCTTCAAAAAATTGCGAATTTTGGTACGTGTCATTTTCTATAACGGGGTGTTAGTTTTGGACTCAGGCCGGCTGCTTTCGCTACAAGGGTTTGACAGTGAGCATCAAATAGGCTGTAATCACGACTGGCTCTGAGGGGCATGTGTCCTTGGCGCTGAATGTTCGAACGTATACGACCAAAACAGATAAGAAAATTTTGGAGCCAGATTCCTTGTTAACACTTCTATATTTCCCGAAAAAAAAAATAGCTCATGCTGACTCGCCAGCGAATGCGTAAGGAAGCAAAACGCGTTTAGCATCGTTATAGCTCAACACGAGGTGGTAGTTTCAGTTACGGCCAACCGAGGCGTCATCCCAGTGGGTTGAAATGCAAAAATTAATTTGTGTACAACACCACGGGCCTGTCAAAGAAATACCGCTGCTCGATTTTACCCGGAGAAATAGTGGCGTTTTTCTTTGCAGCAAGAACTGAAACAGCCCAGCTGCAATTGGAGAAATGTCTGGGATGTATTATAAGTGTAAAGTGATCATTATTTTGTAGACTACTGCATGCCCGTATGGCGTGCAAAAAAACAAAAAACAAAAACAACGAGTTGCCCGCACCACCACACGAATAAGGCGGTAGGGCTACTATTTGCCTGATGGATACTTGTTTGTCATGTGTTATTTGTTACACTCGTTGTGTGTACAATAACCTTTACGTGAATTATATGTACACATATATAAGAAGTGCTCGTTAAATTTACATGTCAAACAGCAGCGATATTTACTTAATTAGCTGGCTCTCTGCATATGTCCACATATCACACAAAGAAATGAATTATTTCTGAGGTTTTACGTGAAAACCACAACATGATTATGAGGTGCGCAATAATATAAGACATGGGACAATTTTGATCACCTAGGGTTCATTAGCATGCATTGACATCGCATGAGTTCTTTGCATGTTGTATCCGTATAAATGCGGCCGGGATGGGATTCCCGTCTTTCGACTCAGCACTCAGGCGCCACAAACACACCACGACAGTGTACCACGAATTAACAGAGATCAAAGCGAACAATCTTTTGAATTCAGCAATATCGAGCTCCTTAACGTAAATAGGTGCAAATATTGTGGTCTCTCAAATCTCACTAACTCGATGCGCTTGGAAACTGTAGCCACGAAAGCTATGAATAAATTATTTTCCCGAAGCACACCCACAATGCCATGCTGACCATCACAAACGTAGGGTCATCACATATATAGCATAATATGTTGCATGTGACTTCACATACAAGTTTCGGCATACGTCACACATGCCACACTGCTCCTGGAATACGCCAATCTGGTTACACAAAAAGTTGATTGAACGCAATTGAACAGCACATGTCGGGCTTCTTGGTTGTTCATCATCACAAGGTAAAACAGCTCGCACATCACGCGGAGAGAGGAAAAAAAAAACACGGCGAGGCACGACACTGTGCGAGTTCGTGCTCCTTTTCTTCACCCCCATCAAGTGCTTCCTTTGTCTTGTGATGATGATCGATGAGCTTGAAAACGTTCAGCGGGACGCGGATAGGTTAAATTTGAATTAAAATGTTGTAGGCCCGTGTGCTCAGATTTGGGTGCACGTTAAAGAACCCCAGGTGGTCGAAATTTCCGGAGCCCTCCACTACGGCGTCTCTCGTAATCATATGGTGGTTTCGGGACGTTAAACCACACATATCAATCAATTAGGTTAAATTTGAATTGTGGTCGACTTAAAAATTTCGCAAGAGAGGTATTCATACGAGTAACATAAGTCATACACAACGTTGTCAAAACTTTGCTGTCTAAAGTTTTTATATATGGTACTACGCAACTGCTTTGATATCGATCACACGAAATACACCGGAAATATTAAAACAAGGCAAGCACGACACACAGATAATCTCGTTCTTCAAGAATAATATGTTGTAGCAGCACAATTTTTAGAAGGTCTATAGGAAAATAAAATATTCTCGACTGGCAAACAGTATAGGAACGTTCAATAGATGACTTTTTAGTACTGGTAAAAAAATGTGGTGCTACCTATCATTCATTTTACACATCCTCATGAGATACTTCGCAAACGCATGCAAACTTGTTCTGTATTATTTGCAATTCGATAGAATAAACAAACTAACAACATAAATCATAAATTTAGTTATTGAGAACGTTGGTAAGAGATTTTTGCACTCCTGCCCTCACACCAATGATGTCCAAACTTGAAAAAGCTTAGAAAGCTTTTCTAACACCGTGAAATCACCGCCAGTCGCTGGACCGGAATAATTCCGCGTTGTGATGGCTGGAAATGCCAAATCGCAACATGGCAAGATACAATGGAATCTCGTTGATACGATCTGCTCGGGAGGTAGTAAACAACACACACCATCTGAAAATCATCCAAACCAAGCTAAAAAAAACAGTGTCAAAATGGGCGTACTCACTAGGAAATTCGATAGCTTCGCGAGGCGATTCATATTGACGCAGGGGCAGTGGCTCCTCTACGGTGGAGATTTCTCGCAGTTGCTGTTCAAAATAAGCAGGGCCGCAGTGCGCGGAACGTTGTTCGTGGGCTGTGGAAACGTTCTTCAACCCTTTTGCTACCGAGTTTTTCGGCCTAAAGCGAAACAAAAATAAAGTTGTTTTTTTTTTCCTTTACCTATTGATTCTACGGGTCTTGTAAGATAAAAAAAAACTACTCAAAGCCATTTTATTCGCAAGGTACAGGCAAAATACTTTTTTTTTGTCTAATGCGCAGAGGATGGCCGTCACTGCAGTGCGCCACGCACAAGGCCCTAACCTTTGCAGTCTTCGGTACTGAAAGAGTTTCTTTAAAATTCAGAAAATAAAGTGCATGTGTCCATGAAAAGAAACCTTGGACGCCCAGGTGGGGTGTTTGCCTACATCTAAGGGCATTCACTGCCGATACGTCGAGACGTGGTCGTCGTCCTAATCTGATGATTAACAGAAACTATGCTGCTTTGTGTAGTCACGCTGTCGCACACTCAGTAGGTCTGTAATTTTTATTTCACGGAATTTCGGCAAACGCAGCCCCCCCTTTTTTTTCAACGAAGCTTTTTCGGCACACGCTCACCGCTCACTCACAAAGGAGGGTGCCATTTTGACTTGATTTGATATGTGGGGTTTAACACCCCAAAACCACCATAAGATTATGAGAGACACTGTAGTGGAGGACTGCAGAAATTTCCACTACCCGGAGTTTTTTAACGTGCACCCAAATTTGAACACACGGGCCTACAGCATTTTCGCCTCCATCGGAAATGCAGCAGCCGCTGCCGGGATTTGATCGCGCGACCTGCGTAACTGCAGCCGAGTACCCTAGGCACCGGACAACCGCGGCGGGAAAGGCTGCCATTTACTGATTTCGTTTACTATAATGAAGTGCTTATCGACCAAGCGCATGCTTTCAGCGTGTTTTAATTACTTTTCAATTACGGCGCTGTCTGTTTAAATCACCGAACACTGCAAAATGAATCAGGGTAGCTTAACGGCGGTGCCCATCAATGCTTGTTTCATGGTGGACGAGCCCAGCTTGTCTCCAGTAGGAGTAGTGCTCTTGTTTAGACGAGCTCAGCTCGTTTGTGGTAAGGGAAAAAGTTAAGCTAATATGAAACTCCAATACAAAAGCTAAGGGCTCTAGAAATAAATTGAAGGCCCTTCGCAAACGAATTATCGGCAGGAAAGCTGCTGCTATGGGGCTTCAATTGGTCTAAGAAATGAAAAAAAAGGGGGGGTGGGGGGCAGCTTCGCTTGGCCGACACTGATGAAACAGCGAATCTGGTGGCGTGTTATGGGGTTGGACGAGCTGGTATGATAAGGGTGGTGGAAAGAGTGGCGAGAGTAGCATTGGGCGTAGTGGTTGGGAGTAGTGAATTAGTGGTAGAGGTGGGAGGAGTGGCACATATCCGCGGGACTTACCCACTTCCTGTGGAGAAATACCACGATCCCCGACGGTACGCGAACACAAAAGCCTCGACCATAAACAGCTTCATTGTTAAAAGAAACGTTGCGTACCAAAACGTATATTTCTGGTTCTCATAAACATCGAATAGATAAGATTCCACAGTATACTTTTTATTTAGAACTCTCTTTCCGTGGTTCTCCGACGAAGCGAAACGGTATGGTACTGTACCATTGGCGAAGGCGGTTCCCTCCGAGAAGTGCTCCTGTTGCCGCTGGTGACGTGGCGGCGAGGGTGGTGGCGTCTCTCGATGCCCCAGCAGAGGCCGCAGTGGAGAGTGGCGCGGTATCGTCCACACGTCCACGTAGCCGGTGTAGGGCCCCACGCGGTACCCTTTTCCCGGGTACAGCTTGGCCGCCGAGTGATTGCCGAAGCTGTAGATGATGTCCGGCACCCTGCGACTGTGCAGCCGCCTCCGATGCCGATGTCTTTGGTGTCGCCTCGTACTTCGTCCCGGCGGCGTGCTCTGGGCTACGCCTTCGTAAGGCGTGGTGTGTTCTGCTGGGCGACCCAAGCCGATATGGCTGTCTTTGCCGCTCGTACCTGCGCATACCCCAATCACGGAAGGCATGAACGCGTCACTGAGAAAGAAAACATATATTGATATTCTTTATTTATAGTCGGTATTGTAGATATCTTTAGGTGGTTGTGACAGGCTATAGTGAAGGTAATAAGGACTTGTCACCTGATAATCGGCTAACACGCATAGTACAACGGCGAGCACTGCTCGTCGCTCACTGATTCTAGAGTCTGACCATCGGTAAAACGCGTTGGGCTTTACAAGTGCAAAATCGAAGATTTCAGCAGTACCGTTGTCGCTCGTGTTAGTTGCAGAGTAAGCTCATTTATTCGCGTCGCGCGTGTTACATTATCCGAGAAGGCTAAAAAATTGTTGGGAAGGTTACCAAACGTCCCAGTGGCCACTGTGCCGAGTGCTCATTACATGCGTATAAGGTCAATCACACACACACAAAAAAAACACCAGAAAAAAGCGCGTGACCACACTAAACGAGCACAACAAATGTGTCAGAGAAGTCATTGATAGGCGTACTTGCAAAAATTCGTCACTTTTAACGTACAAGTGTTGTTGCCATAATATTTCTTGAGTGTTGTGAAACTATGCGTCCTGGGCAGCGGCACTAGAACACAGTGTAGCAAGATCTGAATAAAACTCCCTCGAACACTTCCCTTTTATTTTATGTCCAGAGACTGTTTCGAAATTCACGTCCTTTCGCTGCTCACAGGCGCTAGATAAAGAAGCAAGCGCTACATTAAAGAAGGGATAGAAGTGGCACGCTACGTGTTAAGCAGGTCACACAAACTGCAGTGTTTCTGCTGTATGTCATATCAAGCGAAAGCGGGAAATCATCCTGGACATCAACAGCACACGAAAGCATAAAAACACCTGCATCAAGAGAAGGAATGCACAACCGGGAAAAAAAGTACGAACGATTCTCCCGACTGTGAATTGATTTACTACGATAGTAGCCATTTCCCACACAGTGGGCAACCTTATTTTTGTTTCTTTTATTATTTTCTGACGATGTAAGGTATATGCGTCATTCTTATCGGTTACAGTAACGCTTCTTGCGGCTCCCGATACACGTGCGCTTCCAGTATTTCTGCACGGCGAGAAAATATAAATTAGTAATCAACGAACTCCACGATTAGGGCGTCCTCTTTTTCAATATACACAGAGGCACAGCAGACGTGAGTTGTAATACCAGATGATAGAAGTTTTGCTTTTACCTTGTAGAGAAGGTGAAGCTGCGGTGGTGGACTGACGATGACGACACTTGCCGATAACGTGATCTATACACGATATTTTCTTTTTCACGCTGACCGTAAATATAGTGTTGAGTTCTAACTCCTTATGCAGTGACTTAGACGCAGCGACTTTGTCGGTATATAGGCGGTGCAGCGATTTAATTAGCGCACTTGCAGCCCGACACAAGTTGTTTCACGTCAGTTCTTATGTGCTCAAAGTTCGTAGTACATCCACGGAAAGGCAATCTCGGCCACTCTCAGCGATAAGCTAATGATACGCTTTAAGCTCACTAATTTTTTCTGTGCGCAGCAGGCTATATTAAAATACCTTAATTTTAAAAAACGGACACTTCAGAGGATGTAGATCTCTGCGTGGCGTAGAACGCATGAACTTGTAATGTCTATTTATCCTAACAAGCGGCTGAATGTTTAAAACTCTGCACGGTGAGCACTCCAAATTTCCTAGCACAATCTGTCTGTCTTCCTTTCTTTGTTTCCGTCTTTCTTTTTTCTTTTTTTCGTTTGTTTGCGTTTTTTCTGCGGAGTATCGACGTTAAGGTCTTCTTCGGATTGCGTATTCATTTAACCCGGATATTAGGATGTTTGTATAAAAAGCACGCAATTCTAGCTCTTTGTGACGATTAAACAAATTTACATGGTACGATAATACAGCACTGCCCTATACAATAAAGCATAAGTTATTAAATCTGCATCCATATTCCCAGCAAAGCTGGATAACTTACGCGAATTCTGCACACTTTATCGGCACGCTATAAAAGTAGCTTAGGTGAGTGTAAAAAAACACCGACGCACCACGCTGACCAATGTGAAAATTAAAACACACAGAAAAAAAAGGGAGTTTCAGATCCAACAAGAGATTGTTCAGAAGTAAAATTAGGCTTCTCTGTGGGATTCGAAACACTATTTTCTGTGTCTATTCATTTTCACTTTGGTGAGCGCACAGCCTCAAAAATTTTTTACCATCACCATTATAATCCCGCCCAGACGGGCTTACGACAAACTTTATAGTAGCATTGTTTAACAAGTGATTAATTAGAATTTCAGATGTTGGAGGTTGCCGGCGAATCTAACCTAGCGAAATTTGCAGCCGATTGCTTCGCTCGGTATCTTCTTGTCTCACTGTATCGAACTAATGTTCTTTCCAAAGCGACGCGCGGGCATGCTTTTAGAAAGTCGCGCGCAGCGCGACGCAGCTCTGCACAAGCCGGCAGCCTGTGAACCATTTTGCATACAGTGTTGTACCGGATTCCTATATAACGACACCACATTCCAATATAATTGTCACTTATCACCAGTCACATGCGAGGTCTGCAGCGATTAGAAACTTCAAGGGTAGTCGCGACACCCGCTTCCTAAAGGTCCACTGACCATGCGGAAACAATATCACACTGTCACGTGGCGAGCTTGAACGTTGTAGCTTTTATAATAAACATCGACTTTCTTGAGCTCACGACATTTAGCAAATAATGTTTTAGATCTTCAGAGGTATTGCAAATCGGGCTCAATATAGCGTCGCGTAGAGGCTGATCTTGTGGAGTCAAGCTGGTTTAAGCGCTTACCCCTTCCGGGTGTAATATTAGAGCCATTTTTCTCTTGTTAGCCCTTTTGTCACAAATGACTGGTGAGGTGTCAACCATAAAGAATGAAAATGCTTGTTGACAGCTTCTCTCAAAGGATGCTCGTGGTCTCTTGGATTATTCTTCGTTGGCGTAAGTTGCAAAGCAATCTGGGTGAGTCTGTCGGCCGTCTCATTACGCGCTATACCGACATGCGATAGAATCCACTGGAACTTTATATATAGTCCAACATTGTGCAGGTCTTTAAAATTTATTGCGGTCTTTGAGTGCACTGCTCCAAAACCATCTCATGATTTAGCCGCTGCACAGAAGGCTTTGTCCGAAAGCAGCTCGACTTGTTGCTCTCTACAAAGCTGCACTTGTTTCAGGGCTGCCTGAATTGCCAGGTTTTAAATGCTGTCGACAAAGCAACGCAGTCGAGTCACACTGCCCAGGACACCTTTGAAGACGGGGTCACAAGCGCTGCTGCGCTCGCTCCGCGCTCTCTGTCAACCGATCCGCCGGTGAAAACTCAGATAATTGGCGTACTTTTCTTCATTGTATTCAAGCACCGCAGAAAGTACTTCCACTGTGGGTGTGGAGCACACGCGATTGATTAAATGTCGGGGCTTGTTTGCTCAAGCGCAGAAAAGCAGTCCGTGCGTTTTTCATAGAAAGAAAGTGCCATTAGGTCATATAAGCTGATTTGCGTATTAAATGCGAAGCAATTCTGAGCAAAATTTGGCGTCTTTGAGCGTGCGCATCCATGCCATTTCATTCCATTCCATTCATTCCATCCATTCCATTCCGTCTATTTCGTTCCATTCCATTCAATCCATTCCATTCCATCCATACCATTCCATTCCATTCATTCTATTCTATTCCATCCCATCCATTCATCCATCCATCCATCCATTCATTCCATTCCATCCATCTAGCCGCCTACGACTTTCAGCTCTTCTAGCCGTTTTGATGATGGTATCGATACCAAAATTGGTATGGCATGACATGACTGTATGACGAGCATAAGTCGTAAGTCATAACATGAAAAACATAACATGTATGTCATCAATGTCTTTATTTTCATTTAATGATCTTGCTGCTCTTGCGGTGCTCAGTTCACATGACATATTCCAAAACTGGTATGGTACGACATGGCTGCATGGCGAACGCAAGTGACAGACCCTAACGTCGAAATCATGACATGCATGTCATGACTATACGCTCATAACGTGCTCGCGGCCGTTTCGCTAGCTCCACATATACCAAATTTGGTATCACGTGACGTGAATAGACGATGAAGCAGATTTGGGTGCACGTTAAAGAACCCCCGGTTGTCAAAATTTCCGGAGCATCCGCTACAGCGTCTCTCACAATCATATGGTGCTTTTGGGACGTTAAAACCACACATATAAATAAAATCGACGACGAAGGTATATGACACGTTCGAACATAATAATCGTGATATGAAAGGCATGTACGGCATAATTAACGTCCACCTCGTAACGTTGTGCTGATTTCAAAGTGACACATCAACCTTCCTCATTCGTGAATCGATCACCTATCATCAATTTCCACTGTACATGGGATCTGCCAATTTTTCAAACGTGCTGTTGTCACACAGCGAGGATTAATATATATTACTGCAGGCTGTGCAAGCAGCCATCGTAAACTAATACAGCACGCAACTTATTCATGTTTACGCGTACCATTGATGACCATGTCCACGCAACTGAACATTTATACTTCAGTCCGTCTGCCGGAGCAGCTTCTGTAGGGTCGCACACATCATCTTTCCCTGTCATTTCCGAAGCGTCTGCTACCAGAAATACCCATGATTTCATACTTGTTTTTTTTTTTTGCTAAAGAATAGGTTGTGCCTGCGACATTGAAGTACGCTTATTTAATGTTTTTGCCCTAGTTGAAAACAGCTGCTACTCTGAACATTTGTGACGTGGGGAGTTGCTTTTTTTTTATTTGTTCAGACAACGGCCATACATTAGCCACTTAAATTTTGTGGTCGAGTGGTAAAGATACGACGAAAAAAAGAACAAAAACCTCACCACAGGTGGTTGTATTATCGGTCTGAGGAACCGTAATAACTAACTTTGCTTTATTTCATTACAGCTAAACTAGTTCTATTCATGTAAGCAAAGATCATCTAGACTAAAACACGCAAGTACAAGCGCTTTCCCGAAGGAAGTATTTTTTTTTAAATTTTATACCAAAAGAAAACAAAATAGGTTTCAAACGTAATGGCTAAAATGCCACGAAATCCACGAAATGCCACGGATGGAGGGCCACTGTAATGGCCCTCCAACCATCTAATCAGTACGAATGTGTATATAGACACGAATGGCACTCTCACACGACTGCTTGTCTGTCGAAATCCAGTTGTTTTCAACACCACACGACTACCGCAATTGATACACTTTTGGCGGAAGGAAGTACGGTGTCCGCATTGATTATGGAGAAGAGCACAGGCAGCGTCACCTATCTCCACAGGTGGGAAACCTCGATAAGTGAAGCGTCTGCAACACGCAATGACATTTATTTCTTGCTCTTTTTTTTTCCGGGTTACTGCTTACACAAAGCAAGCAAACGCTGGCATGTGCTTGCCAGTTTTATTCCAGTTTCCTCTTGCGGTCGCATTTGTTTGTATTCATAAAACGGCAAACGGTGTGCGTGCGCACACACACGCACACGCACACGCGCACACGCACACACACACACACACACACACACACACACACACACACACACACACACGAGCCAAGCCGGGTACTTCTTTAGCAAAAAGTAAGTCGGAGTAGGCCTGCTGCAAATGTATGAGCCTCTAAATTGCATCCTAAAGATACGCGTTTAGTGATACGCCGTTTTTATACACTTCAAACGCCTTCAGATAAACAGCTTAGAAGTGCTCCGCAAAGATAAGGATTACACGCACTAAATCTGAAATGAGTGTGAGTTTCGTTTTTAATTGCAACTAAACACAGACCACAGCTTACCATTAAGTAGAAAATTGCCTAGGAATGGGTGATGCTCTGCATGGAACCTGAAAAAGATAAGCAAAACTTTTATTCCAATCAACTGCTGATAAAATCTCGCTTTCCAAGGACGAAGCGCCTGACACCCGTCGATTGCAAATGCGCATTTTTATGCGTCTCTACGTACGCCGGAAACGTGAGACGAATAAGCAGAAGGGGGAGCACATGTTTTTTTTCTTATTGTTGCCTGAAAATTTTATTGCACCTAACAAATTTTCGATCCAGAACACGATTTGAGTTGCTACAAAACAAACCAACACCGAGTGACAGGTAGGAGAGCAGCTTTTTTTTGCGTTGACTAATATTATTTTCTTTCTCTTTGCGATATTGTGTCACTGAATTTTCATTAAGGTCGGATACCGTTTCATCTCTTATCATTTAATCTCTTATGCTGGAAACTATATAAATTCATTATGTTGGAAGCAAGCAACGACAGAGCGGAGGGATACGTTCTTGTGCTGCAGTTGGTGTTTGATTACAGGCATAATTAACGCAGCCGAAAGTCACCACTAAAAATTAAAAAGAACACTCGGAAAGGCATTTTTATTGTGATTGCGCCTTCGTGCTGCTGTAGCAACGATAAAGGCCTAAACCTAGCGTCTCCTAGTCTTTCTTGTACGCATATGGGTGCTTTGAAGTTCGTAAAATCTCTGCAGTCTTAATTTTGTGATAGCATCGAATGCACACTGAACAACGTAAACCATAAGTGAAGTCCGCGTCCCAATAAAGTCTCTGTAGTAGTGTTGTAGCTAAAGTGCGGCAGCTTAAATTGCTGTAAGTGTTGCAGCTAAAGCTAGGTTCTTCCTCAGCGCAAACAACATTATTCACTGTGGCGGACATGATAAACGGTCTCGATTATCACCGATAAACCTGCTGGTGCATATTGCTTCACTATCACTTTTTTTTTTCATTTCCTGCATGTTAGTGGTGTATGAAGGTTGTACACCGCTCAAATTATGTTTGCTGAGTAGGATTAATTCAAGTAAGAGCAGCAGTTTTGAATATTCAGATTAGCGTAGAAACGGCCGGCTCATTTAACTTCGGTTTTCCAAAAAGCAAAATTTTTTACAAACTGTTCGAGAACCTTATGCAGAACGCGTAATTATTTTCGGCCAGGTTTTCAAGGCAAGCACTCGAACACCTTGGCATTCTTGAAAACTGCAGAGAGTGAGAAACGCCCCACAGTAGGTTTTTACTAAGCAGTTGAAAGATATTTCTTAACATAATTTAGATAATTGGTGAACTATGACAAAGCACACATATCCACCAGTGCAAATTGCGTGCATAGAAAACGAACGATCTCTACTGTACTTTAACCCTAGTAATTAGTTGCGAAGGCTAAACCTCCGTAGAAATAGCGTAGTCAAACACGTTCGGACACATAGAGAATTGAAGAATATCACTCCGGTGGACCTTACCTTCTGAGCTATGTCACTGTGACACACAACACGATCATGCTTGGCTGAAAATACTTCGTTAAAAAAGAACAGACATCTAACAAAAAGGTAAACACTTAGACCAGGAAGGTAAACAGGTAGACGAAAACCGTATAAAGAGACATTGATAAGTAAAGCATGAAATATTTTAAGGCATCCATAGCAACTTTTCTTCGCCTCGCTAAGTTACTAAAACTGAACATAGTGAACCTTTGCGAAATACACTTATTGATGCCTACACGCTGAACATGTTTCTTAGATAGGGTTGAATCTTTCTCCTAGTGCAACCTTTCTCCCCCCCCCCCCCCACACACACACACCCACGCACTCACGTTCGCAAAACAAAAAATACCCCAAAATAACACACGACAACTAAAACAATTTTTTGTGCATTATTAACGGCCCATTTATTATGATTTCCTCATTTTATGAAAGCCTGCCATGTAAAGCTGGAATCATAACAGCAAAACACCGAGTCCTACGAGATTCGCTTAAACAAAGAAATAATGAACAAATTACGGTGGTGGCTTCCTCAATTATTTTTTTCTTCGCAGCGCCCGATACGAACGAGAGGAATGAATTGTGAAGCTCGCCTTGACAGTGCAGTAGTTTGAACGGACTCAAAGTAAGGCGCATAATACGAATATCACTGGCATGCTATAGTGTCTCGATGCACCTTACGCAGCCGATGTGGAACCACGGGCAAAAAGATGAATATGCCGTCGTGCACGTGGAGGTTGTCGTAAAGAATAAAAGTTACTTTCAGTCAGCTCCCTGCGTGTTTTTTTTTTCTTGGGGTCCTCTCTTAAAAGCGTTTTCCGAACGACCTGTATTCATTAACGTTTTTCCAACGGCTTCATTTTCAGGTAACGGTGAGCGATTTTAGCAAACAAAATTTATACTGTATAGTGCAACAAAGAACAAGTTGTCATATAACCAAAATTCCGGCGAGATATAAATTAACAGCCATTCGAGTACACAATTCAGGTAACGGTAGAGAGAATTTCGGGCAACCGCACGCATTAAGGCGATCTTATACCGACGGGAGGCTTTCTTAGAATGCGATGGTATACATAGGCAGAAAGACTTGACAACCGCTGTTTGTCGCCGCACTGAAGACTGACATGCCTGCAACCTAAGATGTGCGTTCTGCACCATGCCAAAATAAGTGATGGTAAACATGGGTAAACATTCTCAACAAAAGTTACACAATCGAATGGCTTACCTTCTGATGTGAGCGTGGCGTTCATGGCGGTAAGGGAACGACACTGCCACCATGGCGGTTGCCACTGCAAGTAAGCACGGAAAAATCGAATCAATGTAGCATTAGTAGCAGTCTTTCGATGCTAATGGCCTCTTTGGCGAGGAAAATAACGGAATCATAACAGCGCCAGACTGTCGCCAACGGCGACCGATTCGTACCGGTAGAACTTCGAGAGAGACCTAAAATTGATGTATTTTACGCCTGGCGAGTTGCTTGGTTTTTAGTTGCTCATTAACTCTTAACTTTTTAGTTGCCGATTTTTGCCGGGAGATGCCCGACAAAAAAAGGGCGCGATGATTATGATTATGACCTCAGAAAATGGCAGAACCCCACTGCGGCATTACTCTGAGAATGAGAGCTATTTAAATCAAAACACAGCGATACAAAATGAATAAAAGAATCCATGAATGAGTAGACCCCCTTGAAAAAGCAAGACAAAGAAAAATCTGTTGTAAGGCAGCAACATAAACTCCTGCAGTGTCTAAAAGTTTGTTCTTGTCAATCAGAGTGGCATCGTTACGTCACAGCCTGATTTTTTTTTTTTTGACCCGGTTGTTCGTGACACAATATGGTTGATCATGTGTATCGACGTCACGGTCGGTGAATCGCAACTGCAGATTGGTGCTATTCTTGACTTATGTACTACGTTATTTACGTATATCAATCATTACTCGCTGGTATATTTATTGTAAGATATAAATAAACATACAAAGTTATGCAAACATCAATAGCACAGTAATGCTTGGTATTGATACAGAACAGCCGCCGCAGCTTTGCTGCATAAGCGAGAAAGACGACGGCGGTTGCTGGTTGTTGTTGGTCTTGTCTTCTAGGCGACAAGACTAGACTGGCGCCATCTTGTTCACGCAGTACACTGATTAATTAAATAACCTAGCCGTAACAATATTGGTAGAGGTACCTACACGTAACAATATTTATTATCGAATCCATAAAAAAGTAAGGATCTCATATACTTAACTACTACTTTAACGGCTTGCCTTATATGAGACACTAGAATGGTAAACGTCCCAATCACTGGACACTTCGCACACTTCGCCTAAACATAAGCATACCTTCCGAGAGTGCCAAACTTTTAGCTTTTACAGCCTTCGTGAGACTTGCTGCCGAATATGCTGACACAGTGTGACTTAAGCATATGAAGTTCGGAGATTATAGAAAGTGCTCAAGTAAGCGCCATAGTCATTATGCTCATTCACAACGAATAGTTTAGTTAAGATTGCTTAAAAATATTTATCAAATTTACTGGTATAAACCTATTGGCATTTGACATTCGTATGAGTAATCATAAGTATGAGCTCTTGCATTTTTTTTTTGTCTGCAGTACTAGAACTGAATACATGAGACAACCACCGCCTAAATTTCTAACAAAAATAGCGGCTTTCACTATCGATACGCAGTCTGTGTAACAGGCAAACATTTTGACACGCTCAGTGTTAGGCTCAATGAATTAACTTTTTTAATGCGTAGCTTTCCTGCCGTGATTTAAAGGTGTTTGATGATTGATTGATTTGTGGGGTTTAACGTCCCAAAACCACCATTTGATTATGAGAGACGCCGTAGTGGAGGGCTCCGGAAATTTTGACTACCTGGGGTTCTTTAACGTGCACCCAAATCTGAGCACATGGGCCTCCAACATTTCCGCCTCCATCGGAAATGCAGCCGCCGCAGCCGGGAATCGAACCCGCGACTTGCGGGTCAGCAGCCGAGTACCTTAGCCACTAGGCCACCGCGGCGGGGCGATTTAAAGGTGTACATATGACAGACGTATTACAGAACATTTAACTTATTGATGTTTATCATTGACGTGTGCAGCAACATTTTTAGTTATGCATTGGTAGGCATTATACACGCTAGCAGTACTACATTTTAATGCCTAATTCGCTTCGTGCACCGTTTTCGTTGGACTTTGTAACCCCTTTATGGCAATCTGTTAGGCTAGCAGTCGATAGTGGCAGTAATGTAAAGAAAAATAAACAGATAACTACATAAATAAATAATTTAATATGCTTTAAGGGCCTGAACACATATTATTAAGCATTGCTTGGGCATTATTTCCGAAACCAAAGTGTTATGCAGTACTTTAACGGAGGGCTCGGTGTCTACTAATGTTCAGGTCTACACCTCTGTCTGCGATTGAACTAGCATTGAATCGTCTCGAAGTGCTGCGAGAAGGCATCAGTCGCTATAAGTTCTGAATCATTATTGAAAGAATGGTACAATATTATAAGAAGAAAGACACGTAGAAAGAGATCGTCCACCATACAGTTATTCGTGGCTCTTTATTGCATGTTATTGGTCCAACTCCTACCTTGCTTTTCCTTTCTTTTTTCTTGTTCAAAAGTGGTGTACTTTCATGGGTCACGAGCAAGGTTAGTCAAGCCAAAAGAGCTTGCTGCACTATGCAGATTTCGCTTGCAAAATGAATGTTGGCACCTTCGAAGGCCGCCAAGTGAAGCGTCGAAGTAGCGCCGCAGACGTCATGCCGGCGTGCACTTTCCTCCTGCATGTGGCAATTTAGTCGCCACCCGGCTGTTTGTGCCAACGGTTCTTCGAAAATTGCGTTTGATAACTCTCGTGTGCCAGTTTAAAGATAATTATCCTCCACTGAAAACACTAATTTAATGAAGCTTTTGATTGTTGACACTTCATTTTTGTAGTTAAATAACACGGCGTCGCAGTCGCTTTCTTGGCGGCATTGAGTCATCTCGAGACCAAAGGACCACGTGCAGCAAAAGCAACGTATTCATTTCAACGTAGTGCGAGGTAAATAAACTTCAATTGATCACCGATAGGTTGACGAAACTTGGTGAGACCAGCAGCGCTCGCAGGACTTGCAGATACTACACGCAACGGCTTTACGCACTGCCACGAAGCGTTACCTCCAGGTCATTGCCACCGGCAGCAATTGGTCGGCGACAGAAAATGGCCCATATACTGAAGGCAGCCCTTCAATGCGTGCGAAGTCTACGACGTGGAAACTACCACCAGATGGTGTATCGTATTAATGAAATTTGTCATCGCGCTGCTGATCAAGGACACGACATTGTTTTACAATGGTTGCCGGGCCACTGTGGCATCAGTGGTAACCACCTCGCCGACGACGCTGCCCGATGTGCCCACGATGGAGCGCCCACACTGTTAATACCCTTGTCAAGAGTAGACGCAGCTAGAGAACTTCGTCACATCGCGCATAATGTCACGCTTGCGCACTGGAATTCTCCACCTAACTCCGATACACGCCCTAAGAATCTGAAGTCGTTACTTCAGAAACAACTGCCATCCAAGATTTCTTGACGTGACGCTACAATGCTGTGCCGGCTGTGGACTGGGGTAGCGTTTACTAAGTCATTCAGCCATCGCATGGGCATGGCGGATTCATCCATGTGTGAAAGCTGCAACTGTATAGAGACTATTGAACATCTGTTGTGCTACTGTGCCCAATTTGATGAAGATCGCTGGACTCTCCAGTGTGCCTTGAATAGACTCGATGACCGGCCATTTAATGAAGCAAAGATCTTAGGAGCCTGGTCGCGCAGCACATCAGCACAGAAAGCCACACGAGCCCTCCTGAGATACTTGTCAACAACTTCATCGAGGGACCACCTGTGAAACTCGGCATTGTGAGTGTGATGTGGCATGTGTCTATCCTTCTCTCTCTCTTTTACTCCCCTCTCCCCCTCCCCATGTGTAGGGTAGCAAACTGGTCGCATAGTCTAGTTAATCTCCCTACCTTTCCTACATTCTTTTTTTTTCTCTCTCTCTCTCTGGTCGGCGACTGCAACTTGAATGAAGGTGTGAACCCACATCCGACCCTCTGAGCACATCGAAGCATCGCTACCTTTTAATGTTTATGATTGTTTTCAGTCAGTTGACCTCTTTATTGCTATGCTTTCCAGCCCCTTAATTTTCGGCCGAGCCGCCACCGAGCGAGGAAAATACTTTGTCAGCTGTGGTGAGGTACGTTTTTTGCGGCACAATGAACGCACAAGATTGCATTCATTGCTGATCAAAATAAGGCTGAAGTGCCCTAACCTAAACGCCGCCGTTGATATGTGGGGTTGAACGTCCAAAAACCACCATATGATTATGAGAGACGCCGTAGTAATGGGCTACAAAAATTTCTACTACCTGCGGTTCTTTGACGTGAACCCAAATCTAAGCCCACGGGGGGCCTACAGCATTTTCGCCTCCATCGAAAATGCAGCCGCCGCAGCCGGAAGTTGATCCCGCGACCATAAACACCGCCGTACAAAACAATGCGAGAAATACGACGTGCACTGTACGAATATATTAGTCTGTTTCGGAAGGCCCCTGGAGGGCATGCATAAGCAGTGTGCATGCACTATAAAATACCAATGTCAAGGAAACTAACAACACTTGCAGGACGTAACGCACGCTTAAGTGCATACGCTGACCTTGACAAACATACGAGGTATAATCTAGGGCTCCCACTTTACGAATTACCCTCGTCGCTGCGTTCTCGCTACCACTTATCCGCAGTGAACAGCGAAATAGGCGCTTGCGTTTTCTCAACTCGCATGAAAGGCTGGTCATAGGCTTCTAATAACTTTACTATATTAACAGCATTTTTTATTATTTTATGCAAATGACCTTTGCTTATATTTTTCAGACCGCAATCTACGTAAACTACCACGCAATGTCAATAACACACTCGCATTGCTGAACACATGATGCGCAAATAATTTTTAAAAATTAATAGCTTAAAAGATGGAATTTACCCTTTGCTGGTCAGAAAATGTGTTTACACTGGACATTTTCCTCCAATTTCCTACATCTACGATCGATGCACGCCCGTAGTAGAAAGTGTGCTTGTTCATTTTTGACAAATTACGCTTTAAAAGTATATGCACAACACATTCGTTTTATGTTATTTCTTGCACCCTTATTATTTTAGCGTGCCTGTTTCTTTAGACACTGCATGTTCAACTTCCCTTAACTAATTCTAGTTTACCCTAAATATTTACATATTGCACTTTTGCAGTA